ATTACGTATGAAATAAGTGAAATCAGCCCAGTGGTGATTTGCCTGCTACAGATTACATTTTATTTGAAAGAAAAATATAATGATAAAACGCCTGTTGAAAATAAATAGTCAACTTCAATACGTTTATAATGTACACTTGTACGCTATAATTGGTATATTTACAGGTGCGATGTTTAAAAATTAATTACTGAACTTACGTTTTTATTTGTAATAAACAAAGAGCATATAAGTAAGTCAATAAATAAATCAATCTATATTCGTAGTAAGCCATACTAGTGTTATCAGAAGAAAACATTTGGATTTTTGTATGTTTTAAAATAACTCAAAATCTAGTGGGCCGATTTTAAAAATTCATTAACCATTAAAAACTACGTTGTCGTAGAGTAACATAGGCTACATTTTGTCCTTTTTTTTAATTCCACGTGGATGAAGTCACGCGTAACTGCTAGTATCAAATAAATACATATAACTTCATAAAACGCACATGAAACCCGATGACAGCGCCCCCTAACAAAACACTTAAACTAAATTCTAAACTGTCCAAGGACCTACTGAAACTTAAAAAATCTACATCGATTTACCAGTTGTGAAAAGATTGATTCAATTAAATTAATTTTCTAGTACATATAACTAAGAAATATCTGTTACAAAGTTAATAAGATATCTTTTGTGAAAAATCACAAATCAGTATTTTAAATAATCCTGTTCCTGTTCCATAATAACCTTTCAATGTTCTTGCATGACTTTCAGATTTGTATTTATGAACGTAGAATAAGCCCTCCTGCCAAGCTTTACAGTGTGATATGGCAACATTGTTCTTTTTTGCAATGTGATTGTGGAAGGCTTAAACTTGGACTTCTCTTAAATTTACTATATTTCTAGACATATTTTCATATGAATTGTTTCTTAGTTAAATATTTTAATAATAAACATCACTTGTATCTCAAAGCGAAAATTGGTATACTCCGATCACTTTTACAATGAATTAAATCTTTTATCCCAAGATGTCGGTGATAGTCTATTACAATTTTGACGAGCAACTGTTTGTATAATCCGGACAGTTTTCTGGTATTCCTATGAGCTTATCGTCGTGTGAATGTGTAAATAAAATAGGTAGACGTACATCAATATGAATCAAGTGTCAGATGAAAACTTACAGAATATTAAATGCAGTCAGAAATATAAGGGCACGAAGAACGTAAATAAAAAGGCCAAAGATCCTGCGGAATCGACTGAAGAAACGAGTGATAATTTTATTCAGGAAAATTTAAACGAAGCATTAGCAAATACTCTTAATATTAAAGTTAAAAGTAACATAACCAATGGTACAAGTGCACATTCTGGCGAAGAACTGACTGTCGGTTCTATTATCAAGTCTGAAGCACAAGAAGAAATCCTCTGTGAAGTTACAAAACATGTAAATAGGTTACAGTGTACAGAAGAAGTAGCAGATAACTGTAACAGTGATGCAGCCTGCTCTTCATATAATAATGGTGAAGGGGAGTGCCACACGTCCAGCCATTCTGACGATGCTCAGATAGACGACATTGACATTATATCATATGAATCTGAGTTACAAATGCCAGAGATTATGAGACTAATACAAAAAGATTTATCAGAACCTTACTCCATCTATACTTATAGATATTTTATACACAACTGGCCTAAGCTTTGCTTTTTGGCAACACATGAAGGGAAATGTATTGGTGCCATTGTATGTAAGTTAGATATGCATCGTAATATTGTTAAAAGAGGCTACATTGCAATGTTGGCTGTTGACAAACAATACAGGAAACGGAGGATTGGTTCTCGGCTGGTAGAAAAGGCTATACAGGTACGTATCTTAATTTTAAAAATATAAAAAAACACTATTCAAGTGATTGAAGATCTGTTCTTTTTCTAATAGGAAAAAAGAACAAATCTTCTCTGATAGACAGAATTCAAGAATAATATGATCCGTGTTTATGATATAAACTTGTTCCATGGCTCTATAGATATTTTACCCTGTATGATAACTATTATGCATATACTCATAAAGGATATTTTTATCTGTTACAGGCAATGATCAATGACAATGCTGATGAAGTTGTGCTGGAAACAGAAATAACAAATAAGCCTGCGCTCAAGTTATATGAGAATTTGGGTTTTGTCAGGGACAAGCGCTTATTTCGATATTATCTCAATGGTGTAGATGCATTGCGATTGAAATTATGGCTAAGGTGAAATAAGTAGGTAAATAAAGAGAAATTGTCAATGTTGTGTTGTATATTTTAGAGACATTCTAGTCTCCGGCATATATGTATAAAGTAAAACCTACTGTTGTTAAGATGGTATAACCTAAAGATCCTGCCATGTGGATTTTAGCCAAATGTATAGTTTGTTTCAATTATTCTTAGTCTTGTGATATGTTTTATTTTATCTAATTTATGTTGAAATTGTTACTGCAAATGTTTTCTGACATTTCTTTTCTATCTTGATATTAAGGTTATAAATGATTATGATCCTTACTGAAAATACACAACTTTGATGAATAATGCGACTTATTTATATTCTCAATTGACAATATAAGCTGTCACATTCACACCCATTCCTTTATTCCCTTCTGAATATAACTTTTCTTAACCTTTTTTTAGTCAAATCTATTTATGTACTGTAACTTGTTCAACTAAAACCTGGGCAAAAATGTGGCAAATTTCAATCTCAACAATCAAATTGCAATATCTTGCATATCCATAAATGGGCCCCTTTGTTCTATTTTAAAATATTTATAAAGCGCTCCATATTGCTTGCAAACTATCAAATGTGATAGCTTGGATGGATTGATGTTTACTAGAAAGTAACATCTTAATGGATGGATCTCCATGAATTATGGCACAGATACAGAACATAGTCTGGAAGAACACACAGACTACATATTAAGTTTTTTTTTTAATTGCAAACAATATTGTGGGTGATAGCTAGTAAAAGCATATGTGCAATGGAATGTAATAGAAAAAGCTAGTAAATGAATAAAATACTTGTTGATCATAAACATTTAATGTTATAAATAGTGTAGGAATACAGTTTTCAAAACTTATATTGCATTAAACATCACTATTAAAATGTGAATGTGGCTGTATTAGTTGAAGCTCCATCATATATGAAAGTGTTGTTCACAGGCTTATATTGTTTGGTGACAATTTTTATAGCTTCATGGGCAACACAGCCACCTAAGAATGCTGAAACACTATGAATTTCCGCACCACCATACCTGCACATTTCATGTACATGATCATCTTTAGGAAATGGTGAACAAGAAATATCTGTTAATAGCTTAGAAACACATGTTTTTAACTTAGATATATCACTCTCTGGTTCCCATTCACCTGGTGCTCTACAATGTTCGGACCGAAACATTTCCGCTGCTCTGAGTAGAATATAATGCACCATCATAACATCAGGTTCTTCCAAAAACCGCGCAATGTAAGATGATACTGTATTATTAAACTGGTATTCTCCAACTATACTAGATCCTTTAATTAGATGCAAATCATGAGCATGTCTACAGAATAATTTTACTTCAGATTCACTTATATGGTCACAGTGCAATTGGATAACAATTTCTTGGACCTTTCTGTAGACTATTTCTGAATCAATTGCAGCTTGGTTTCTATAAATATTTTGTAGAGTAACATAATGATCTGTTGATGCTGTCATATCTGGGAGTGTACCCCTAACAGGAAGTTTTCCTTTCCCTTCAGCTTCAACAAATGTCCGCAATGCAGAACACATGATCCAAAATGGTGAACTTTCTTTTGATAAATTAATTGCTGAGCTGCTATACAAGAGCTCTTGTATTTTTACTGGTAAAAATGTTGGTGTCAGTGCAGTATTAACAGCTCTTAGGGCTTCTTCAAAATTTTCTTCGTAAATTGGCATACCATTATCATCCATTCTTTTAAATTGATCTATGATTGCTTTAATCTCGTTTTTCTCTTTTCTGCTCATAGGCCATCTGTTTGAATTTGTGGTTTTCCATTTTTGAACTGCTTTGTACAGAATAACAATCCAAGGGATGTGACCATGATCTTTTAAATCCAATGATTCTATTTCAAAACTATTCAAATAGTCATATAATGTTTGGAATGGGACATCTAAGCGTAAATCATGTTGTTCATTATCAGGATGGCTTTCTACAATAGCATGTTCTTTTAATTGAATCCTAAATGAACCTAAGAAGCCAACAGATCTACATAATATGAAAGGAACATTTATCTCCCACAAATGGTTTGAAAGGTTTTGTATAGTTTTCTCACTTAAAGATGTAGCAATCACCACACTGAATTTTTTATAAAAATCTGGATTCTCTAGTAATATTTGATCTGTAGGTTCTTGAACAGCATACCCTTGTACAGCCGGATTTAGCTCTATTATCAATCGCAGCGCTTCTGATCCCCTATTCAAATTCTTACTTGAACATTCTAAGAAAAAGTTACTTCCAATGTCTTCATCACTCACAATATTGTCGTCTACAATAGTAACAGCGCCTACGCCCGGTAAAACTATAGATTTTAGAATTTCGGTTCCTAAAGCTGTTGCATTTATTAAACAGATATGCCCATTTTCTAGTGCAGATTGACCATGATCACCCCACAACCGTAATTGCCGGTCATACTGTTTGTTCTTTTCACTCTGTTCTGGCGACTTTGGAGACGGAGAAGCCATTTTTACTTATGAGGAGTTTATAACGGTAACAACGTCTTTAAATAGTGTTTAGTATTTCGTATTTAATATTTACAATCCGAATTATTATAACTTACAAAACCTAACTATCCTTCTTGAAATTTGACTTGACTTTGACAATTTGATTTTGATTAATCGATTTTTTAAATTGAATTCTACCGGTTCCTACCATTTTGACCTTGTGTTGTTTGCTTTGTATTGCCGTGACTACCTCCGTATGATCACATTCATCTTTACGTTTTACATACTCTGTGACTTTAAAAACTATAAATTGTCTATGGTATTGGTGTTATGTGACATAATTAATTTACGCTCACAAAAATAAATGAAGCTGAAGAAAACCATTATAAAATGAAATGTTATTTAAATTGTCATTGACCTAATGTGCATGGAAATGAATTTACAGACATTGTTTCAGGATTTTAATCCCAGGTAATATAATAAATTACAAAATAAGGCTTGCTTTTAAATCGCAATTCTGACAAATATTGTTTGTTTTCACAGCAAATTCGTGGTGCACACTTGTTTGCTAATATTTACTGCGTTATTGGCTTTGAAATTGGACAAAACTATTACATGGTCGTACTGGGCTGTATTTACCCCGATATGGATATGGAAATTTTTAGTTATTCTTGGTGCCACAGTTGGCACATATGTTTGGTGGCAGTACCCACACTTCAGGTTTGTACAATGTACTATTTATATTCTCCTATTACTAATTACTAATTACCATTTGTTGCTTTTATATAATATTTTTGACATTATTTTTTATTAAAAACAAACTCCCTGAGTCTTTTTCATCAAATATTTCGGAAATTTAATAAAATGAAATAATATTCTACTTAAAATGTATATTACTGTTGGTCATGCCGAGTACATACTTTAATGTATATTCTTTGTCTTTTCAGATTAGAAGGTGAAGCTTACATTCACTATAAAGCTATGCTAATAAGTCTTGCTATACATTTAATCTTGTTGATGTTTGAACTCCTTGTATGTGACCAGTTGAGCACAAGCAGACATTTATGGATACTTGTTTTTATTCCTTTAATATTCATCAGCATTGTATCCATTGCTATTTGTATATGGTCTGTGAAACATGATCGTAGCTATGAGGTAGGTATTCAATTTTAATTATTTTAGTGACTAGCTAATTACTACTTAATGTAATCTACAAAAGATATTACCTTTATAATTAATTATTTTTTTCCTATTTTTTTTATTGTTAAAACTGCATTAATTAGAGTATAAGTTAATCATCGAGTCTATAATAATTTATTTTAACTACAAGGTACTTGGTAGTTTTTTTCTTTGGTTAAAAACATTGTCTTAGAAAATTTAAATAATGAGGAAACATGAATAATTGCACCGACCCTATGGGAGTAGGATAAGGAGATGATGATGATGATGAGGAAATGTGAATAATTATTTATATATTTTTTTCAGCTTGAATTATTTTGTGCTGTAAATATTCTACAGTTTATATTCTTGGCATTGAAGCTGGATACATTTATACATTGGTCATGGGAGGTTGTGTTTGTGCCATTATGGATACTAATGTGCCTAAGCCTTGTAGGTGAGTGTATGTATGCTTTTTATATGATTTTTCTAATCATTTATATATCAAATTACTCCACTATCATTATCATACACTCAAATGGTACTTTTCCTGTTTATTTTGCCTTTTCATTTCATCATGTCAGCCATAATTCACCTAGGTCATGGGCCTCAATGACCTCTAAATATTACCACAAACATCTGTCCTATGCCACCATCATATTCCTATTGACCAAATCATCAGTACAACTTGCAGAAATAACAGCCCTATCTGTCCATAGCCTTTCATTTTCTGTCACCTTGTAATTATTCAGTTTATGGTAGATGGTATTGATTTCAATGTTTAATAGATATAAAGAAAGTTACATTATGCTCTTATGTAAGATTTCAAATATTTATAACCTATATATCTTGTTTCGAAACAAATTATTCAGAGTTAAACTGTTATTCAGAGAATCACAAAAATAAATTTAGTACAGTCAGCTGCATAAATCTTTATATGTTTACTAGCTTTCGCCCTCAACTCTGTCCACATGGTATTGCAATAACAAAAGTGAGAAGTCTATGTGTTCTTCCAGACCAACTTTTCCAGACATATATACCAATTTTCATCGTTCAGCCTTTTAGATAACAAACTCTAAGAAGCATCCAACAATATTTTCGCATTTATAATATTAGTATGATAATACTTTAGAAACTTGTTTCATATTTTGGTTTAAAAAATTATATTAAAAAGTATGCAACAATAAAACATACTGATGTTCAATTGCATATGGGGGAATTTGTGGATACATATTTTTTTAACTGAAGGCATGTACATGTCTGCAGATTTGTAAATGTTACAAAACATGTAGCATGTAAAACATGTAGCTGACTGTACAAATGTTTCAACAATAACTTGTGTATTTAAGCTGAAACTATTTTAAATATTAAATTTGTGCTATAATATTAAATCGATTCCTATTAATAATGTACTAAATCCTTTTAGGGGTTTTGTATAGTATAATATTCGCTGGAATATTGTTACGCACGCCAGAGGTCAATGTACAGCAACGACGGACTAGCTTCAACACTGCACTGGCCTACACATTTACTGTCATACCAATATTGGTGTTCCAGGTATGTTATATATGAATTTATTAGGCAATTTAACTATTTCAATACAAGCAATTTATAGAATGAAGATTAAAATGTCAAGGACAAACGGTTTGTTACATGAGAGAGATAAAAGATAGGTATTTCAGGAAGAAGGAAAGAAATCCATTTAAATTTAGTAACAATTTTTATCTCTTATGCAATTTTGCTAAGCTTTTGGATATCTGTAATAAAAAGTTCTTTATGGCATAAGAAAAAGTTGGACAGCTTAAAATAGAATGGTATTGATTCATGAGAATATTTCTACAACCTTAGAAGGATTATTTATAATTAAATACTTTGTACCAGTTTGTAACTACTATTGTAACTAATTAAAACAAGGCTGTGTTAATGTTATCTAGATCCTAACATAACCGGTTTTAATAAACATTTATAGATATATGAGTGAACATACATGTTGATGTATGTAGGTCAAATATGTATTATATTGGCTTCATATTTTTTCTATTATAATGCTTTGGTGACTGCCAAAGCAAGATATTTTTCAAAATTATCGTGTTATAGTATATATATGTTTGTTTGTCTTAAAAGTAAATTGCCATCCTTGTATTTTAGGTCATTCGTAGAAACCTTTTTTGTGTCCAATATCTGACTGAATTTATTTGATCTTAAACTACCACATTGTTATTTTTATTAGGTACAAATTTATTGACTATGGCCTCTTCACCCTTACTTAGGGTAGGCTCCGAGCCCCTCAGTGGGGACATATAGTGAGCTGGTGATGATTAGATACAATGAAAATTTAGCTTTCCTAAATTGTATTTAAAAGATTTTAATCGTACGACTTTAGCAATGTTTTTTTTTCTGTAGGTGCTTTTAACGAATAAATTGGATAATCGTGATGAACTGTCATCATTTTCTTACATCGTGGTTGTAAGCCCGCTGTTTGTAAGCTACGCTACACTGATTGTTATGTCCTTTAGTTCTAAAGGAGGTAACAAATGTAAGTAAAACTTTTTATTACATACTTAATTAATAGTTTTTACTTTTGATGTAATGTTTTCCATTATATAAACAATTATTATATGTAATATGGAAAAAAAAATTGCGAACACAAACCGAAACCGATTTTGTTAAAAATAAAGATTTTTCTTTCTTTTTGTTGTTGTCTTTTAATAGAAATATAATTTTTTAATACCATATTTGAATTGGCGTATTTTGTTTCCAGGGTGGTTTGGTATACGGAAAGATTTCTGTCAGTTTCTACTGTCAGTGTTTCCGTTACTACAAGAGTATGCGAACATCGCGTACAATAACAACGTGAACCGCTCTAGTATGCGGAGCGAGGTCACACAGGAGCCCTACAGGGACGAAGAGACAAATAAAAAAGTAAAAGATAAAAAATCACAGAAAAATCAGAAGAAAAACGAAGCAATGAAGCCAGTGGTGCCTGTGACCAGTATAGACATGCCGGATTGACGTAAGTTGATTGTTTTATCAATTTTAATGTAAATTTAAAAAGGCCCTTACAAATTGTGACCTATTCTAGCATTTTGTCTCTTTCCTGTCGTTAAGAGTTAATGTTATATAACATAGGGAACAAAGACAGAGCCATTGTCTTATAAATGAAAAGGGGATGCCCAAATCCTAATTGGGAAGAATTACATAAAAAACCGCACTTTTATATTGTTTGAATTTGAAAATAGGAGTGTAAAATAATGTTTAAAAAAAAATTTTTTTTTCAATTTTTTCCCCAATTTGCAATTTACATATGTAAATTCACGTTGAAATTCATCTTTAATGAATTTTGGGGAACTTAAGCTCTAAGATTTGACTATTATGTTTATTTAGACTTATCTCTATATAAATAAATGTATTGTTATTTATATTTCATTTGACGAATTTTTTTCTCGATCATTGACAAGGCATATCATGTTCTTTTTCATATTATATAGGATATTTTTTTTAAATAAAAGAACGCTGCTGTTTTTGCCTTCTAATGTTAGAAAGTGTAAAAATTAAATTGATCATTATCATATCTGTAATAAAAAAAATAGACTTAGTAAGGGCCTTTGTTTTTGAAAATGAAATATCGTGTGTTCACTTGTTATACATTTTTAAATAGCTTCTAAGTGTAACGAAGCAATACAAATTGTTAAGTTTGAGTAGCACTAAGCCACAATCCTCTTTTAATTAAAATGGGATGTTACTAGATGTTAATGGAAAGTTAACTATTTTTTAACGTTTAACAGGAAATCAAGTTTTGTTGTTTTTACTAAACTATTTGCATGTATAAATATAAATATATTTTTGCATCATTGAATAACAAATAGGCTTGTTAAGAGTAGACTAAGATAGATTAGTAAATACAGTTTCTTTAACTAGACTATATCTGTATATTGTTTTTGTATATACATGGTTTTGAAGACAGCAAAAATTTACACTAAAAAATTATGTTTTGTGAAACTCAATTGATAAGTAGAGAAAATTATAAATGGTGTTAAAATACTAGACTCACGAGTGCCGATCACGTTAGTTGCATAATAAAAGCTATTTGTATATATTGTAGAAAAAAATGAAATATTGAATTTTGATATAGCTTTAAATACAAATTTTATAAAAAAAAATGATTGAGGAAAATGTCATGAAAATATGCAATTATGGTCACGCTACATGTTATAACACAATGTTTAATTTTTGTTATATATGACACCTTTGAAAAAATCTTCTTATAATATCGACCATTCAATTGTTAGTTGTAAGAAATGATTTATAATCCATTAAAGTAGATTTTTAATGTTCTTTATTACTTTAAAAAATTCGACATTAATATTTTTTTATATTTATTAGGTATACTATTGTCTCTTTTTAATTCAAACATCTCTATAGTAAATCATTCATTTGGTGCTTTTTGCGTGGATAAACTAAAAAAAAAACAACAAATACCCAAACACCCCTTAAAAATGTTTACGCTAAATAAAACATAACCTTAATAAAATATTTTCGTACGCAAAGCTTCAGTACTAGTTTTGAGACAAAAAGTAGACATAAGACAATAATTGTCTATGTAATTGTAATTGTAGATTACGATTTTTTTTAATACTATAGTTTAAAATTACGTGGTTGGGTCTTATGAAATTATGCTTTTAACAATTTTAGTATGTAATAAAAAAATAATTCTACACATTGGAGTTTAGATAAGCACAATGCAATAAATGTATTCAGTTATAAGTGATTTCAATTCGATTAAAAAAACATAGTAAAGAAAAAAAAATGTGAATACCACATTCTTTATTGTTTTAAAACTTTCTTATATTATTACTTTATGTGTTATATATGTTTATATAAGTGAAGTTCATTTACATTAAAATGAATATTGTTAGGTAATAAATTGTTTACTGTGATATTTTCTTCCTAAACGTTGCTTCGCAATATTCATTGAACAAGTAGTGAAATATTTTGTTAATTTAGTATGGGATAATTTTAATCTAATTGTTTCGCGAAATAAAGTTTTGTGAATATAACTTTTTTTTAAATCCCCAGCCTTATTTTCCTTTTAAAATTTTTGTATTGTATTTTGTTAAAAACAGATAAATTAATTTTTCTAATCTATAGTAATGTTATAAAAAGGAAATATTTGTATAAAAGTCATTTATCTGTGAGTAACGTAGGCTATATTTTTTTAATTTCTCACGGGCGAAGTCGCAAGCAACAGCTAGTAATGTTTTTTTTTCTATCCGTTACTTTCACAAGATAGAATTATTATTTTACTTTCCAAACTTGATTATAACTATTTATTAAGATATCGTGACATGTCGAAATAAAATAGAGCGCTGCAAAAAATGTTTTCACATTTCGTTCTTATCACGTGGAGGCACGGATGAATCACGTTATTATAATGGAAAAGATACGTGTATCCAATGGCTCAGTAATTTATCATAAAAAAATATCCTTAATGAAATTCTGGATATTTTTTCTACAAAAATATTTGGAAAAACTATTTACAGTGAATATATAATGCCATAGTTATTTGATTATATAAAAGTGAGAAACTAACTTGGAAAATTTGTTCATTTTAGTCAATATTATTTTATTTAAAGACTAAAATTTTTTTTTAAATGTTTTGTCAGTAAATTTAATGCAATTACTGTCTTCTTATATTTCTTTTTTAATGATACGAGTAAATCAACCGAATAACGCAGTTCAAGGTGCTTGTTACGTGAATAACGCCACTCGCCTTGATCTCACCTTAACCCAATTCGTTTTCGAACTTCACTTAACATCTCTATGCATATAGTATTTATCGATTTGCTTCCATAATATGGAAGAACATACTTTAAAATGTGTTTGAAATGTCCTCAAATCAAAAGGAAACTTGTAAGAAAAAAATATGCAGTGTTTTATTCAGTAAAAACTAAAAATACATTTTGCGACCCTCCGATATAAAAAAAAATAAAAAGACATTCAAAGACCTCTTCAATAAAACGTAACGTTTTTAAGTCATATATCGTATTTATTGTTTTCTAAATAATTCTGATATATTCGTGATATATAAAAGTTACAATCAACTTTTCTGTTACTCTCTTATAAGGTCGAGGACAAATAGTAATAAAAAGTTTAATGATTGCTAATCTTATGTTGTACAAGGGCTTAGACGCGAACTTTTCTTTTGACAGCTGGTACGGATGTCTCCACATCGATTTCAACCCTCACAATGCTTTGCAGTCTAGTTGCAAACATGCTTTCCAACAGTACACAACTTTCAATGTACTTGACTAAATATTATTTTTAATTTAACGTTAACTTCTGAAATCTTTGCAACCATGGAACTTAGTGAAATGTAGCATCGTAGTTCCTGCGGTACAATAAATAAATCATATAAATAAAGGTAAAATATACATTTTTCGATTTCTTAAATGTGGGTTATTAATGACTTGCTGTTGCTCGCGACTTCGCCCGGGTGCAATAAAAAACATAGCCTATGTTACTCCGTGATAAGATAGTTTTTAATGGTGCAAGAATTTTTGAAATCAATCTAGTAGTTTTTGAGTTATTTTAATACATACGAAATACCAAAAATACAAATATTTCCTCTTTATAATACTCTAAAAATATTTAATGTATTACAACTAAGCTATCTCTAGTTGTAATATGATATCAACAAAAGTGAACAGTAATAAATGGTTAAGCGAAGAAACTTCAGAGGAACAAGAACTATTCAAACACTCTCGAGAGATGGAGGCTGTTTGTTTTGCGATCACCAAAGTGATATCAGAATGTGACAATAAATGGAGGTCAACCCCTGGGGGTACTATACCTCATACATTAAATCGTAGCTATATTATGGAATTAGTCAATTTACAGGTAAATTATTTCATTACTAATTTTCGCCCGAGACTCCGTCTGCATGGTAAACAAAAACAAAAGTACGTAGCTTATGTGTTCTTCCAGACTATATCTATCTACTATCCTCTACGTCTATACCAAATTTGATCGAAATCCGTTCAATCCATCTATCTAAACTTTCGCATTTATAATATTAGTATGATTAAACAGATTATAAAACCATATTTTAACCATATTTTGTTCAATATAAGTGTTTTTCTATAGCAATTTTTTTAAGACATAATCGCAATAGTGTAATAATTTTATTGTTATTTTAATTATTAATTTTTAAGGTGCTAGAACAAATAATTGAATATCTAACGAAATTAGTTAAATCGTTCTACAAATTAAATCCAAAGTTGGCGAGATTAAAAAAGGACAACGATCTCTTAATAAGCAAACACGATCATATATTTGACAGACTGTGTGGATGTCGGTTTACATTGTTGCAATCAATTTATAGTCTTATTGCAACGATATTAAATACCTGCCTCCATAGAGAAGACTCACGAAAACTGCTCGAATCATGTTTACGGTGAGAGCTTGTTTATAACATTGTCTTTCCCACCCCTGGCTGATAGAGGCTCAGATAGCTAAAAAGTGATGTCACTGTCAGATAGAGTAACAAAATCCGATATATCCATCACATCTTTTAGATGTTGGATTGTTATCTGACAATTTACAAGAATTATGGGACAGGCCCTTAATTGCCTTTTTAACACAATCACTGCCACTGGCATTTGATTATTATTATAAAAAAATCGTAGTGGCATTGGGCGTATTAAATGGATATTTAATTTCTGTATTTAATAACTTATTCAATATATGTTTGTAACTTTTCAGGTTAGTTGAAATCTACAATAACTTGTTGGGTTTAAGTTATAAAAAGTTTACATCTAAGTTCAGTTCGTGCAGTAACACTTATCCTCAAGCAGTGAGCGCTACCAAACCGATAACGTTAACTAAAATTGTTCAGGTATGTATTATTGTTTCTAATTTGCCCTCACTTTCGTGGTTTTAGTATTAATTCACGTTAAATTTGCTACCAAAATAATCAAACTACAGTTTGTCTAAAGGTAGGGACGGTTGTGCAAAAGCAGGCAACAATCTCTTTGATTTTCGATTTTACCTCTCATAGAAGTTCGAATCGATAGATTCATAGTTATGGATTCAAATTAAAACACTGTTTTGTCAAAACAATAATGACCAGAACTATTACAACTAATGAGAGTAAATAAATATTTATTGCTACTGCAGCCGTACGTAATCGAATTGGATTTCACTATATTATTGTCATCGCTATATTCTCTATACTATAATCAATACTAGAATTGTCCACTATATTAGTTAATAAGAAAATAATAAAAATATGTTCGATAAATTTTATTTAAACCGAATATCGATAGTTTATGATTGTTCGCTATGCGTGTTTGTTTCGTCATTACAACACCTGTCTATTAAGTACGACATTTGCCTTCATACAAAATTAATGCGATACTTCATATGCGTATCAAACTATTCTATATTTAATTTTTCTATTGTTTTTTATACAGTTCTTGTCAAAAAGTCGCGCAGAAGTGAACTGTCATCGTTTGATAAACTGTTTAGTTAAATTGTATAGTCCAGGAGTTGATGATGTCGAATCTAGTTCCAGCTCAGCTGATAGCTTAGAGATCTATCAGTAAGTATTTAACTATTCAACTATTATTATCTCCGCGATGCGTATCCGAATCAATTGCAAAATGTGTTTACGTCATAAAATTTAAAAACTGTATACAAAGTCAAATGTTCTTAATGCTTGATTTTTTGAATGAAAATGATCATTCGTGCCAAGTTGGCATTTAACGTGTTAAATAAATTCATTCTTTTTAGTACACTCACAAAGCATATAACACCGCCAACATCTTCCGCGTCCCGTCAGCTGAGTGTCGCTGAAAAAAGAGAAGCTTTTATAGACAGTAAAAAATCTAAGATGAAACAAGTACAGAGCATGATAGAGAAGATAAATGGGAAACAGAAACTTAGCGATGTTATCAGTCAACATTCTGACGGCGATGTTCCTTATACCTCGCTGTTAACTAATGAATGTGTTTTGGATACTGTTTTGAAAAATGAAGGTAGACATTTCTATACTAATGTTATAAAGCGAAAAGATTTGTATTTTTTTTGTATTAAAATAACTACAAAATATTGGATCAGTTTCAAAAATTCTTTCACCATTAAAAAATGTAAGCTTTTGTAATTTATATTATTTTCTAATTTCACGCGAGCGAAGTCGCAAGCAACATCTAGTATTTAATGAGATTGTGACATTTTTTTTTTATTTAGTGAACACTAAAGGCAACTAACCGCATGATGGTTTTTCAATTTTTCCCCTCAGATGTAATTTGTCTAAAAATTGCTAAATCGAATATTATTTTAAATCGAAGGTGGTTTTAGTTCATAGAGAAATAATAACAGATTTGCATGCTCTGTTTGTTTTCAGAAAACGTAAACAGTATTCTACAAAGTGAAGAGATTTACATAGAAATATTACTAGATACTGTTGCTAATATTGCTCCAGCACTGCTCGGACCTAACGGCGTGAAAAAACTTAAAACAGGTAACAAACAGCATAATTTAATCCATATACATATTTAACAAAACGTTACATGTTGTTAAAATAGTTTTTTACACACTTATTATAATTTCTAATGTTGGTCACATTTTATTCATTATTTTTCTGATAATTAATTTATTTTATTTAATCTGAAATACGACGAATACTGAAACGAAACTTAAATCTATCAGCGTTTAAATTATAAAGCCACACTTAAACTGTAAATTACATTAAAATATTGCTATCTGACAGATTGTAAATGTCGTTTAAGAAGTGTATCAGATTGAATTCAGTATTCGGCTGATAGTTTACTGTCTTAGTTAAAATATTAATTTTCTAAAGGTCGAATACAAGTAAGTAAGAAAGCTGCTCACAAAGTAACGGAATATTATCAAAACATTTTATGGGGTGATGTCGGCAGTTGCTTGGAACATATAATTCTCTGGTGGTCCACACTACCTTTAGGGACGAGGTATTTAGATTTTTTTTATAAATTACAAATTGATTTCTTCGCAATAAATTATTACTAAATTTTGTATGTTTTTCAGATCGCCAAATACTAGTCAAAATCTTCGACAATGGTTATTCACAACGTTCAATGTTAATAGTAGGTTTCTGATAGCTCTTTATTTTGTTATTATCCATAACTGTTGATTAAGCAAATGAATACTTTTTAGATACTCCGGAGTTAATTCTATCAGCTTTAAGGATATTGGCTGATGCGTTAGGATGTCATGTTACAACAACTTCTTGGGATAGACATTTTGGGTAAATTTTGTTATTTTTAAATAATATAAGGCGGAAGAGAAGTCAATAGCTGCTAGGTGAAAAGTCATATTTTTTTAAACTTTGCTAAATTAGTTTGTTTTTTAGACGATAACGTGGTCGTGGTGATACAATACTTATGGCCGGTTTCCCAGCTACATTAACCTTTCGCTGGTTTTCCGAACTATTTAACGTTAATTTTACTTCATTGAAAGTCAGGTCAACCTAACACTTTTGAATCACTAGGTAATGGTACAAGAAGTGGAAATTTCAGCAACTCTACATTATTATTATAAGCTACAACCTTTTTAATCTCTTTAACTCATTTCAGAGCAACATTTACAACGAATCTGAAACCAACAACTTTGAAAACGTATCCTGAATTGTCAGTTTATATTACTGAGGTAAGGTAAATTGTAAATTTCTTACCAATTCATGCATTTATATAGAAGCATATCTATACTTCTATACTATTATAATATATCGTAAACACACACTTCTTTGTTGCCTAAGATTTCAGCAATTACAGCATATTTTTGAATAATTCTCTTTTTTTTTTAAAAAAAAACCTTCACTTACGTTACGCTTTATGCTATATATTTTCTCGCCATTAAACTCAGGGGGTAGGTAAACTCAGGGGGGTGGGTACATTTTGGATAAAAACCCTAATGTGGGAAAGAGACCATAAGTTGCTGTCAACATCAAGGCAGCAAATTTGCTAAGGTTTATCATGTCATGTCATTTTGACAATTGCTATTGATAATTTGACAAATATAAACAATAAAATAAAATTTTCATAATTTCACGCGGATGAAGCAGCACGAGAACAGCTAGTAATATATAAATATATATATTCTAGAGTACAGTATCGGGTGCGACCTTTGCGTTAATGCTTCAACAGTTGGTAATTCTGAACAACCAGTGCGAGGTGACTTGGGATCATATTTTGGGGGCGCCCATTGAAGATTTACCTATCGTAGAACAAATCCCCGTATTACATAGACTTGGTATGTTTTTATCATAATTCTTTTGTAAGGTAACTCATTAGAAAACTATAAAACATTAGTTTGGTTGAATACAACTAAAGTTTATTGTGTCTTTTAAAGTATTATGGTCACTTAAGAAGACTTTTAGTGTAGATTTAATACTAGGGATATATTAAAAGAGCCTTAATAAACCATTATGAGTGCAGTTATTAACATAAATTACATCGAGACATGTGTGACTTAAAACGCTAGGCTTGAAATTAATGCTTTAAATAAGCGATTTAATCTATACCGATATCAGATTTCTAATAAATTTTAAATATATTTTGAACTGGCTTTCGCCCGCGTCTCCGTTCGCGTGAAATTAAAAAGAACAAATATGAGTAGGCTATGTTCCTTTATGTCTATACAAAATTTAATCGAAATCTGTTCAGCCGTTTAGTAGAGTTTCCTAACTGTGCAGATCACTCCATCCATACATACCGACTGTGGTGCGTGTCGGAGACGCGGCGTCTCGCCAACTTGTGGCAGATGGACGACTTCTTCCGCATCACGCTCAAAGACATGCAAGTCTGCTTGGAACAGCTCGCCAACTTACGATTCGCTGATCACACTGCCGCTATTGAAGCAGGTGTGTACAAAATAATAGTTAAATTAGTGAAAAATTAATTATGGAATGTAGTATAAAAATAAAATAATAAGCTATGAAACTCCGATGAATGTTTTAATATAATCGAATACCTTGAACCGGCTGTTGTTTGTAGGTAGCTTATGTTTTCTTCTAGATTTTCTACATTTGTGACAACATTGAAAACCGTTGAGCCGTTCTGGAGATAACCTCTAACAAACATCCATGCAGTTAAAATTTCGCAGTTATAATATTAGTAAGAGTTAATGTGTGTTATGTTATGGATAATTTTATTTTTTATATTTCAGAGAATATTGGTGTTCATGAGAAAGTAAGTGCAAATATGCGGGAGAAGTTAGTTTCCGAAATCAAAGTCAACATACAGAAACTCAAAGTAAGTACGGTAAATAATTATCACAAGGTCGCAGTCAAACAAAACGTTTATTTGTACTGCTCCATTTTTTAATATAAACCCTTATTTTACAATAAAATTCATGTATTGCCAGATGTTTGAAAAAACTGACCAGCTATACACATCCAGAGCTATTACTATAATTTCTCATGATTTGGAAATATATTAATGTTATCAGGACGCCAACGAAGAGATTATAGAAGTGTTGTCGTGTGTGTGCGCGACCACCAGCCTCGCGCATCTCACCATGATATTCCCCACCCACGCGGAGTGGCGCCGCGTCTCAGAACCTCTACCGGAGTTCTCTATTTACGTACAGGACTTCTTAGGTAACTGAACATCAGCTCTCCTACCTTATCCTACTCTCTAAGTGTCCACCAGATTTTCCTCCAAATAACTATCATCCGTCATCTCAATCACTCCCTTCTTGATCACCTTTTACGCAATCCATCTCTTTCTAAGTCTACCTCTCTCTTAGGTAACTGATTATGTGAAAATAAAAAAAGCATTGATCCTAGTCCACTAAAATATTCCGTGATAAGTTGTTAGATTCTGCACATAACGGAATTTTGTCCTCTTCTTAGAGAAAAGTTACAATTTTTTATACTAGCTTTCCTGAATCTGTCTCTGTGGAATTAAAATTAAACAAAAGCAAGTAGCTTATGTGTTCTCCCAGACTATCCTCTATATCTATGCTAAATTTCATCAAGATCCATTCAGCCGTTTAAGCCACAAACTCTAACAAACATCCATCCATCTAAATATTCATATTTGGAATGTTAGTAAGATGTCTAATTAATTGCTCAAAAGGTTAATTTTGAATAATTTAATGATTCTATTTGACGCTTAGAAAACTTACTAAAACAATTACTATTAGCAAGTTAATGGCAATTTTTATAATACTTTGAAATACTGAAACAGTGTCTTAAATATTTATTACTCGCTTGAATTTCAAATTCCATTAATATTTTGACATCAGTCAGATTGTAAGCGGTAATTACGAAGTGTTCATTCGTTTCAGTATCCTGGCGCTATGTTTCAGACACAATGTTGCTGCCTGTAATAAAGGCGACTGATGACGTCACTTCCCTCAACTTGATATTGAGAATCATGTGCGAATCCTGGCTGCACCACATATACGCCGCTAAAGTTAAGTTCACGTAAGTATTTAAATTTTTACTTATACATTTGATGCTGTCTTTACACTTTACTTGCTTTTGTCCGTGACTCTGCGTGGAATTAAAAAAATACAAAAGTTATTTGCCAGAATATATTCTACATCTATGTTAAGTTTGATCCAAATCCATTCAGCCGTTTAGGCTACAAACTAACCAACATCCATCCATAACACTAGTATGATTATTCCATTTTAATCTTACTTTTTACTAAAAGTTTAAGTGGATGGATGGATGTATGTATGCAAGAAGGTATTTTCAAAACGCCTCAGCGGATTCCGATGAAATTTGACATAAATGTTGGACTTTGAAAGAACACATAGGCTACATACTGTTGTTTTTTTCATACCCTGCGAACAGAGTTGTAGGAAAACGTTAGTTATTTGATAAATTATAATGATATTAAATAATATTTACAGTAAAGAGGCCGCTCTACAACTTCTGGCTGATTTCGACGAAGTCCGCGTGTGGCTCAACCAATGCAAACAATTATCACCAGTCTCTAGGAAACAAATGTTGCAAAATGAAGTTTTAAGGTGAGATTTAATTAAATAATTTAAATTTTCATTCAAATATATTTATTTATTTATTTTTAATATGGCAAACGAGCAAGCGGCCACCGAAATAGCAAGCAACCGCTGCCCATAAACATCTGCAATTGCAGATGCGTTGCCTACCCTTCATTGACGGAGGAGACGCACATAAAAGGGACATTTCCCCTTTCTGAGCGGCTCCTCCACTGTCAAATCCATTTATCCTTCCCATCTTTACCTCTTATGAAGGGTGGAAAGGGAAAGGGATTTTAATTAGGCCTCCGGCACCACACTCATCAGGCTGGACGCGGAATTGTACCCACTTCCCGCCTTTTTTGTGGAATTGCTGGGGGAGAGCCGATCTATTCATATGAAGATGTTAAAGCGGGCTCTACCATTTTCGACTATTATTGTTATTTATGTCTATTTAATGATTCCTTTGTTATAGCAGATGTGAGGGCGTAGGCAGACTCCTGCTGCACGCGCCCGGAGACTTAATATCGATGCAGGACTCCACAATGCGGAAAGATGGTGAGATAATTTACATGTTTTTTTTATATTGTAGCAAACTAGCAAACGGCTTGAATTCGCCAAATTAGCGAAGTGACCGACTATTGACAGCAAAAGCAGATGGGTTGATTTTTAATCGACTGGGACAAAGACATTTCTCTCTTCCTATGAGTTTCTTATAAACTAGATTAATATTAATCTTCCTGCAAACAGTTACTACTTTCACTATTCTCATATAAAACTAAAAAAAAGTCTCTTTTTTTTATTTTAGTTATTGCAACAATATGTTATTTTTTGGCTGGGCTAATTATTTGTATGAATCAATCGCATTTCGTAACAGCAGATGACCTCAGACCGGCGCAATATTAAAAAAGAACCGTACGTTTGTGAAGTTGAGATTTATGAGGGAGCAACATATATTTTTTTAGACTAGGCATACCAAATCGTTGTTTGTTGTTTTGTTTTTTAGAAAAAACTGCAGCAAATTAAGGTATTTTAAGGATTTTTTTATCATGTATACAAAGGTTTGCGTTTCAGCGAGCGGCGCGGAGCAGCTGATGCCTGCGGAGATGTACGTCCCCAACCAGAAGCAGTGGCTGACGCTGCGAGCCAACTGCAAAGGACCTGTCTCATTTACTCTGTGTTGTTAATAAATAAACATTGGACAATTATTTCGTATTTTATTTGACTCTAAAATGTCTTTTGGTAACTCTAGTCAATACCAGAAGAAAAAATCCTAGTTCTGTTGAAATTTTTTTGCGAAATTTTGAAACATTTCTAATTTTCTCTGTGAATTCCAAATGTAATATCCTGTAAATCCACTGAAATCTATAAATAAATTGGTATAAGTTTATTTTACCCCCATTATATGCTATTTTAACGCTGTTAAGGTTAGCAGCAGTGGTAAACATTCGAACTAATAGTAGTGGGATGTGACCTTTTATACAGATCAGTAATAAGAACATATTTCAAGTTAAATAAAAAGCAATATTTGATTTGTTTTATTTTATTTCCACTAAATTTAAGTGTCGTACACTTTTATTATCTAGTTAAATTTAAATAGCAGTTTATATGCAACAATCATCTCTATAACAGAACATTGATACATTCCGTCTCGAAGTTTCGGGCGAAAAACAACCGTCACATGAATTCCACTTAAAACTACACAATATCTAAAATAAATTTTCTAACATTTAAACATTGCATCACAATATAAAGCTTACTTAAATAGAATCATTTGTATCAGTATTTTTACATTTCTCTTTCAACTGTTCGTATTTATTAGTTTTAATGAAGTCTTCTTTGGTCTTCTCCATTTCTGTAAGAAGGCTGCTGACGGGCAGAGTTTGCGCGTCATCGGAGTCGGGGTCGGGGTCGGGGTCATTATCGGGGTCGCTGACTAAACCTGAGTCTTCTCCAGATCTGTCGGCGCGTTCGCTCCCTGCGTCGGTGTCGGTGTCGGTATCGATGTCGGTGTCGGTGTCGCTGTCTCGGCGAAGTCGGTACGCGCGCGGCACTCGCTCCCAGTCCCGACTCGTCTCCGCACTTGACGGACCAGCGGATACCTTCTTACGCTTGTTCTTCTTCTTTTTAACACTCTTCGCTATTACTCTCTTCTGATGATCCAATTGCGGGAATAGTTCTGTATTGTAACAATTAAATATTTTATTATTCAAAAGTAAAAGGCTTTGGATTTTTCTATTTAGTATCTAAAACATTACAAGTTCTCTAATCGATTTTTTGTATTGTAAGAAGTACAATAATCTAAGGGCTTTAAAGTGCTACAGCGATGCATTATCTAAATTAATCTCCCTTTTCTATCGACTACAGCCGATTTAACTCAAACTCTAGGGTAAAGGTGAGGAAATTATTTAATTAATTACTCCTAATATAACGTACTGAGTTCGCCTAACTTATTAAAAGCATAACAGCAAAATAATTATGACAATTGTATAAAAAATGAGGCAAGTGTATAAAAATAAGACAAGTGTATATAAATACGACAAGTGTATATAAATACGACAAGTGTATAGAAATACGACAAGTATATAAAAATATGACAAATGTATAAAGGTATGACAAGTGTATAAATGTTAGACAAGTGTATATAAATGTGACAAATGTATAAAAGTATGACCAGTGTATAAAAATATAACAAGTGTATAAAAGTAAGACAAATGTATAAAACATGACAAGTGTATAAAGCGTATATTCACCGTGCGCGGAGTTGAGCGCGAGCTCTGCGGCGTTCATCTCCGCCTCCTGTATGGAGTGTCCGCGCGCCGCCGCCAGCCGCGCGCCCCTGAAGTACACGCCCACGGAGTACACGCGCGTGTTGGTCGGCCCCAGGCACTCGATCACCCTGAACACAAATAATACATTTAACAATGTTCTTGTTTACAAAAATTAATTAATTAAAAATTACTAAAGGTCGCCGAAATGAAAAAAAAAATATAACATTTCTGTGTTCCAGCTACGTTCCCATCAAAATTGGTCCACCAGTTCCGAAGATTACTCGCAACTTGCAAAAAGACATTTAAAAAATTGGTTTTTCGTTATTATTTCTCGAATAACTTAAAATTTTGGTAGCAGATGCCGTTGTAACCTAACCGACTGTGAAAATACCTAAAACAAATACGTACAAAGAAAGAAGAAGTGTACTTTACACTTCTTTTTTCTTTGTACGGTAACAATATATAAAACTTTTACAATGAAGATTATGGAGGCAGAAGTTCCAAAACATACTTATACAAAGGTATATCTGGCTCGCCACCCTCCATGGAGCGCAGCGTGAGGCAGCACTGCTGCAGCTTGGACTTGGGGTCGTTCCAGTCCTGGTTCAGGATGAACTCCTGCAGGCGCGGGAACAGGCACGCGTTGCAGAAACCCTGGCAGTACTCCAGGTTCTGCACAACAAACACAAGGACTAAATAATAAGTTAAGAGACATTAAAATCTCTTCTAGGAACATTAGAACACTATAACATGAATAATTAAAATACATAGATTTTAGTATATCTGTCACACGACAATTTTATAACTACCAGTTAAAAATCTTAACTTGTTTTCACGATTTTCATGGTATTATTTTTATTATTCTTTATTTAACACTTTTGCACATATAATATTACAAGAAAGCTAAAATTAAGGTATCATGAAGTTATTCTAAAAAACAGTAACCGTGTTATTTATTCATTTGTTAAAATCTTACATAAATAAAACAAAAATGATAAGTCTAAAGAAGACTAAAGAAATAACAAATGTAAATGTACCTAAATTAGTTAAAATCTCTTTCTACATTAACAAAGTTATGTCCAATTTATATTATTCCAGTTCAGCTAGGAAAGTCGTGCTGGACTGGAATTGTATAAACTGGGTAACATTAATAGTTACCTTGTCAATATAAAGTGCGCCGAGGAATGCCTCCAGCAAGTCGGCCTTGTGTTTCTTAGTGGTGGGCTTCGCTTTAGGGTTGTTGTAAATGGCGTAGGCAGACATGTTGAGGTCGTCGCACACCATCGCCTGCGTGCGCTTGTTCACCAACGACGAACGCAATAACTGGAAACATTAAATAAAATTGTTATCTATAGTACACTTACGAAACGCTTTAGGCTATATATTTTGAGGCTATTAATAGCAGAGAGCAAATGTAAATTGAAAAAAAAGATGTTTCAATAGCAAAGAATCAAAGTTGCTACGGTTGCTTAAATTCAGCAATTAGTAAAAGCAAAACATTTAGAAATATTTACGGTTCATCTAGCCAGTAAAGATGGTCAGTAGCGTAAAATAATGTGAAATTTTGCGCCAGTAAAAAATCTATGCCTGGCAAGGCAACAGTCCAATTGTATTGGCCTAGTGCAAACACAAGCATAATGCATGGTACACACTTTGGCAGTAGAGTTGGACAGTTGCGCAGTCAGTCACAAATTGTATGGACTCACTGGGGTCAGTTATCGTTCACACTGTGCCGGTTATTGCTAGCTGTACCAGTGAAGTGTGTACCGCGCTTTACGTCAACAAATTGTATGTGTGTATTTTTGTGTGCTTTGTTTCTATGTGTGTAGTTAGTATGCCCGGTTACCCTTTCAAATTATAAGAAGCTACTTGAGTGCAAAGGAGCCAGCTGAAAACCTACCATTTTATAATATGTTGTCTTTAGAATATGTCCGTTTGTTTAATTTGTTTTGTTTCTTTTTTGTAGCAAAAAATACTTGTGATTTGTGACAATAGGAAGTCGTGTTTGACAATTACCGAGAGATGTCCCTCATGGTGGTCGGGGAAGTGGCGGTACAGCCTGTCGGAGACGACGAGCTGCAGCACGGTGTCGCCGAGGAACTCCAGGCGCTGGTTGGAGCCCAGCGTGAGGTGCGTGAAGCCCACCGAGCGGTCCGTGAACGCGCGCGCCAGCAGCCGGATGTGCTTGAACTGGACACCTACACAAATTATTATCTATATCTTCTTCTGTATATGTCTAAAAAAAATATTTCTGTTATTTTTAATCTGTGAAAATTTTAATATTAAATCTTGAATGTTTATTCTAAAATGTCATTGTGAATACATGCGGTTTATATTGTTAAGTGAATTAGGAAGATATAATATCGTTTCTTTATTAAACTAAAGAAAAATCTACATAGGAGTACAACTCATTTTATATCTATTCAGTTAAAAAAACTAGTGTCTAGTAATATCGAAACAATAATCTTTGAAGATGATGGTTTTGCGCTGTTGATAACGAAAAACGGATTTATAAAAAAAAAATGTATGTCTGTCCGTCAACCGCCTTTGTTCAGGGTAATCTCACGCCACCGCCGAGGTGTTGCTGTCGAGCTTGCGAATGCTCCGGATGTGTTCCGTGAGCCTGGTTTTATTGTTGCGCCTCGTTTTTCCGATGTAGTTCTTACCGCAATCGCATGGAATTTCATAGACTCCAGGGCTGCCCAGAGGGACCTGGTCTTTAGGGGACCGCAGGATTTTCTCAGTCAGGGGTCGGAAAATGGTCCTGATGCTATATCTCCGGCGTAACAGGTGACCAATTCGGTCCGTTATCCCCCGCACGTACGGCAAGTATGCCGGGACACGCTCAACATTTTGGCCGTCATTTGCTTGATGTGTTTGCAAGGCGGTAACTCTGCCGCCAATTATAGCCGTTGCTCTCTAACACCTGTCGTACGTGTGACAATTCCGACTCAATAAACTGTGGATCATGTGTGATGCCGAAGCACACGGTTGATCAAAGTGCGTGGTACTGACGACAGATGTGAGGGGTGATGGTGTGAATCGGCTCCTAAGTAACGATCTGTGTTGGTCGGCTTTCTGTATACCGTATGTACAAGATTTCCAGTGGGTTCCCGCTTTACTAGAACATCCAAAAACGGAAGAGTTCCGTCCATTTCCTCCTCCTTTGTAAAGACAATCTTTGGATGTATACTGTTCAAATGGACCGACAACAAGCTTAAGCTTTGTCTTGTAACAATAGCAAACACATCATCTACATATCTCCACCAGTATCTGGGTTTGGTTGGGGCCGTTCGCAAAGCGTTATCCTCTAAATGTTCCATAAATATGTTGGCCACAACCGGTGCTATTGGAGAGCCCATAGTCACTCCGTCCAACTGCAGATTGCAATAGTGCCTACACCGAATGTTATCACGTGAGTTTAGCCGTGTTATAATTTATATAGACGGGCATGTTATAGGTTAAAGGGTTTTTTTATTTCCGCGTTGTCAATGTGACCAGACCGCAATCTAGAACGGATGGACCGATTGCGACGGAATCTTTGTTGCAGTTGTGTGTAGTGAGCATACCAATGGAGGCTTCGAACTCCGTCAACTTCTGCAGGAACTCGAAGTCCTTGATGTAGTTCCTGTCGCCGAGCGGCTCCTGCTCCTGCAGCGGGTGCAGGCGCTCCTTGCTCCACACGTCCAGCAGCGCCGGCGCGCCGTGCCACAGCGCCATGCCGAACACGCGGTCCGTCACCTGCCACCGCCACACATTCAAAACAAAATTAGAGGAGACAGAACACCTCACTTGACACATTTTTTACATCGTCAACATGTATCCTCAAAACTATTAATTTTATTCATATTAATCTATACTAAAATTATAAAGCGGAAAAATTTGCATTTTTGTATCTATTGAAATAACTCTCACCGTTAGAAAGGTAATTTATCTGTAATATGGGCTATATTTTAGGCTATATAGGCTTATATTTTTTTATTTCACGAGGTCGAAATCGGGCGGAACAACTAGTTAAATAGTATATTTAAATGTTTATATTTAATTTAATAACACTGTTTAGTTTCTTCTATAAAAAAAGAAGGACCTTATTTTGTTAAATGTACAAGTACATGAGGTGGTATTAAATTTGACAACAGATATAGTACGTTTCAAAGAAAGTACCGGTGAAGAAATTTTGTTCTAACTCAGTGTGAGTTGCATCAAGTGTCTAATCACAGTCAACTCGGATCTATTTTCTAAATGTTTATATATCAAGTAGTGAAAAGTTTAAAAGCTGGCACGTGCCAGTAAGGCGGCGTGCCAGCTACTGGCTCACCTCCAGTCCGGCGTCGAGGAAGAGCGCGCCCATGAGGGCCTCGAAGCAGTTGGCCATGGCGTGCCGCATCACCAGCTCGCGGCACAGGTCCGAGCCGTGCGCGTACAGCATGAACTGCTCCAGCTCGATGTTCTGTACATTATAATATTTTTAACTTTAATCTTGCTTGATGGCAGCTTGTAGCTTATGGTCCCTTTCCCACATGGTTTTTTTTTCAATTCATTTACCCCCTAAGTTTATTAGCGTGAAAATATATAACCTAAAACGTGTTGTAAGTGTAGGGCTTTTTATTAGAGAAAGAAGTATTCAAAAATATGCTGTGATTGCTGACATCCTACGCCACAAAGTAGTGTGTTTACGCTGTATTACACTAGTAAAGAAGTATAGATATAGTTGGAAGTATAAATAGACGAACTGTTGCCCGCGTCTTCGTCCGCGTGGTATTAGAAAAAGCTACGTATTCCTCGGGAACCGGACATTGCTCGGGGATGAAGCTTATCCCATGCGTACTTTAGACTTTGGTTTATATCTGTGATAAATTTCAATAAGATATGTCGAACAATTGCAGAATTATCGAGTAAACATTAAAATACAAAATTAATGCATCCCAGGGGAACCGTAAATATTTCCGGGATAAAAAGTAGCCTATGTGTTCTTCCAGACTATGCTTTACATCTGTACCAAATTTCATCAAAGTCTGCTCAGCCATTTAGGCTACAAACACTAACAAACATCCATCTAAACTTTCGCATTTATAATATTAGTATGGTTACACAAGCTTTCGCCCGCGACTCTGTTTGCGTGGATTAAAAAAAAAACCAAAAGTGAGTAGCCTATACGTTCTTCCAGACTATCATCTACATCTGTACCAAATTTCATAAAAATCTTTTCAGTCGTTTAGGCTACAAACTCTAACAAACATCCATCCATCTAAACTTTCGCATTTATAACATTAGTAAGAAGTAAAACAGTTAAAATGTTCATATTAACCTTGGCTAGTTGTGCGAGATGTTGGTTCTGCACGATGGAGGCGCGGTAGGTGGCGAGCCCGCCCTCCGCCAGGCCGGGGAACATGCGGAACAGGTGTATGGAGGAGAGGAACTCCACCACCGCGTCCCCCAGGAACTCCAGCCGCTCGTTGTGCTTGATCTCAGACTCCGTCTCGCTGCGCTTGCCGAACCGCGACATTATGTTGATTAGCGTCACGATACCTGCAATTTTGAGGTTATATTATTACAACTATGAGCAAAATTTACAAAAATCATACTAATATTATAAATGTGAAAGTTTGGATGGATGTTTGTTAAAGTTTGTAGCCTAAACGGCTGAATGGATCTGGGTGAAATTTGGCACAGATGTAGAGGATAGTCTGGAAGAACACATAGACTACTTTCTTTTGTTTTTATTAATACCTCGCGGACGGAGTCGCAGGCGGAAGCTAGTAATTAAAATAAAACTTTGTACTTGTATTTTTCATATACTTTTGAAGGCGTACAGATTATACAGGTGTTTTTCCAAATATTTTTATACTTGACTAATCGTAGTTTGAAACTTCATTCATATGAAATTAAAAAATATCAACATTGAAGGAGTTTTTGAAATCGGCCAAGTAATTTTAAATTATTTCAATACTATATGTATTAAAATGTATTAAATACAAATCTTTCCTCTTTATAGTATTAGTAAAGATTCAGAATCATAAATCTTAGTAATTTACGTGTTCTTCCAGACAGTCTTACATCTTTGGAAAATATAATCGACAACCTTTCATGAGTTTCAGATATACTTAAAAACATCCATCCATTTATAAAAGTAATAAGAATTTACTACTTAACATCTATATTAATAATAAAAGAGAATTGTATTTCTCGAAATCAAAACTGAGTCGATTTTAAAAATTCATTCACCATTAAAAAGGTTCGTTATGTAATAGGCTATGCTTTTTCACTATTTGTTAAATTCACACAGACAAAGTCGCGAGCCACAGCTATCTATACTATTATTAAGAGAAAAAATTGTTCTTTAGTATTTGAATAACTCAATAACTACTAGGCCGATTGCTAAATGTTTTTGAGAAGTTAATAGCTACGTTATCACTGAGTAACATAGGCTACATTTAATTTCCACACAGACGAAGTCGCGAAGAACAGCTATCTAGACTAATATTATAAAGAGAATAAAATGTATTTTTGTTTTGGAATAACTCAAAAACTACTGGACCGATGTTTTTAAATTATTTCTCTATTTAAAAGCTTTGTTATCACTGAGTAACATAGGCTACATTTAATTTCCACACGGACAAAGTCGCATGAAACAGCTAATAAGACAAGTGACCTTTCTTCCTAGTATAATGTATCCTGCGGTCGCCGTACTCGGGCTGGCGGATGCCGCAGTTGGTGAGGCTGTTGCGCGCGTGGTCGGGGTTGGTGCCGAAGTTCTCGCGGTAGGAGGGGTGCGTGAAGGCCGTCTGCAGCAGCAGCCGCTTCTTGAACACGTAGCCGATCTTCCTCTCCAGGCTGTCCAGCGACTTGTGGAAGCGCAGATGTCTCACCAGCACTGGGATTAACATCGCGTGCTGGAATGCAGGGAACAGACGAATTGAATACTTCCTGCTTTTGGGAATTCGGTCAAAAAGTAAACTGGATTCGCATCTAACCGCGATGTGCGTTTATTATGTAAACAAACTGCGGTAGTTTTTTAAATTTTTTTATTTTACTTTTTAAAAATATTATAAATGCGAAAGTTTAGATGGATGGATGTTTGTAAAAGTTCGTAGCCTAAACGGCTAAACTGATTTCGATGAAATTTAGTATAGTTATAGTGGATAGTCTGGAAGAGCATATAGGCTACTGACTTTTTTTTTTAATTTATTCTAGGAGACGAAGTTTCGGGCGAAAGTTAGTATACAATATTAGTTAGATTAAGGCATATTTCATTGGAATCCGTTCAGCAGTTTAGGCTACAACTCTAACAAACATCCATCCATCTCAACTTTGACATTTACAATATTAGTATGATTGCTGTAGTGACCTGCACGACGTCGCACATGAGGCCGGTGGTGTGGAAGCCCTGCGAGGAGATGGCGACGGTGACGTCACGCTTCATCTTGGTCTGCGTGCGCATCTCCTGCAGCTTCGCCTCCTTGGCGGCCAGCTTCTGCCGCTCCTTGTACGACGGCTTCGCCATGTTGGCGATCAGGTGCCGGTACTTCACGTAGTAGCGCCACGCCTTTTGATATCTGAATTCATACATAAAAAATATCACAAATGAAGTACTTTTTGAATTTAAGACAAAGAAGCTCGATTTTCATTATGTATGCGTGTGAGAGAGATAGAAAGAGAAAATTATGTTCCTTATAGTAGGTACAAAACTTTTTTTATTGATTGTGCTTTCAGACCTTCAGTATTGCCATGTGAATTCTTTTTAATTTCTACTTTTGTCTATTGCGGAAACATTACAAATACAAAGAAACACCTTGGTAAAGAGATTTGTGAGCACATACGAAATGTTTATTCAACGTAAAGTGTTTATGAAGGGGGAACATGCATTATGTTTACAATGTTTAGTGTCTCACTCAGGGTTGCCGGCGTAGCTGAGCTGCGGCGGCCGTATGCCAAAGTGCACTATCTCTGGGTAGTAGTCGAGGGCGCCCTTAGTGTCCCTGCCGGCGGGCGGGCTGCGGTCCAGCTGGTCCACGCGTACCGAGCACGGCTTCTTCCCCGGGTACGTCACTATCATGCCTGATTTACAATAAAATCTATTTAGAAAAATTCTATCACAATCATTTTTTTTTAATTTAAACGATCATTATCAAAACTTGGTTTCAAAATTAAGGCATTTTAGTTAAATCATACACATTTAAGCATTTTAGTACTGGCATATCCCAGCTACTGGTGAATAGTAAATACTTAATGAAGTAGTAACTGGCACATAACATATATAAATGGTGCTAAATATATACACATTCCAGTAAAATTGGATAGATGTTTACATGCCAGTTTACAAGACAGTACGAGACAAGACATGTAATTGTCAAGCTTAGTATCCCTTTGATTCCCCTCTCTAATTGAGTAAATCAACGACCTTGACAGCGTTGTGCTCGAACAAATAATTAAAAAACCATCAAAATGTAAAATTAATTTGAAATCGGCCCTGTTAAAACAACAAATATGTAATGCGTAAATTAAAATAATCTATACTAATATTATAAAGAGGAGTGATTTGTGTTTTTGTATGCATTGTATTGGCTCGGGGGCTGCTGGGCCGATTTCAAATTCTTTCACCGTTGAAAAACAGTGTTGTTTGTGAGTAAAATAGTCTAAGTTTCTTTATTATTTTTTATATGTTATAAACTAAGCGACCAGTGGTTACACATAAATCCTGTGGGTTTCAGTACCACTTATAACGTCCCTTATTGTACTTTTAAATTTATGCTTTCGTCTAATAAAAAAAAAAAATTAAGCTGTAACGCAATTTAATATAGTGCTAGTAATTTACTAGCTACTAGCCTGCCAGTTAACATTTACATATGCCTTTAGTAAGGTTAAGGTCCTAATAAAAAAAAATAAAAAAAATATAAAACATACCTTTAATTCTATCAACAAACTTCTGCCATTTATAATGATCCATAGAGTGCACCTCCTCCAGCGTGTCGGGAGGTATCAGCAGACCGCTCTCGTCTATTAAGTATTTTAGTACTTCGCACATCGATAAAACCTAAAATTAAACATATTTATTGCTATTAAACCATATAACCTCAAAAGTATATAAACAAATGTTTAAGGGCCTGTCCCACTACTGGCTGATAGAGGCTCAGATAGTTTAAAAGTGACATGAAGTTATTTTAATCACATATTTTAGTTGTTGGATTGTTATCTGACAATTTACAACAATTGTGAGATAGACCCTAAGTCTAAGGAATAATAAAATTAATGAAAACAGAGATGCATTATCTATACTGATATTGTAAAGAGGAACGATTTGTATTTGTGTATATATTGAAAAAACTCAAAAACTACTCGACTGATTTCAAAAATCTTACGCCATGAAAAAACTGAGTTATCAGTGAGCAACAGGCTATTTTTTTTAATGTAACGCGGGCGAAGTCGCGAGCAACAGCTAGGTATGTGAACAAAAAGAATGCATGATATTTTATGTTAAAATAAAATTTTGCAATTATTTAAAAAATATACAATTGCTAGGTAATTGTATATTTTATATTTAGGGTTTTAACTTTAGGGTAGACTCCGAGCGCCTCGGTGGGGACGTATAGTGAGCTGGTGATGATGATGATGATGTATGAATATTTTAATAATTTATAGTTTGTCTTACCTCACACCCTCCTTCAGGTAAGTATCGCACAAACCTCGGCATAAAATGAAACTGCGAACAAGAAGTGTCCGTCGCTTTCCCAAGATCTAAATCGACTAATTCTAATAACTCGTAGAATAAATATTCCTCTGAAAACATACAATCACACATTGTTTATTTATGTTAAATTATTCATCTATATCTATACTAATATAATAAAGCGTTAACACACACTACTTAGTTATGTGACTGTCAGCAATCACAGTATTTCTATGTAGAATTATTTGTTTTAATAAAAAGCCCTACACTTATGAGACGCTTTAGGTTAAATATTTTCACCCTGTTAAACTTAGGAAGTAAATAATATGCAAAAAAACATCAAGCTAGAAAGAGACAATAACTAAATGCTTACATCAAGGAAACAAGGTTGCCATGGTAACGGTAATTGTTAATTGTTATCAAAAGACTTTGTTGTCATTTGTGCATTTGAATATTGACATTTGCAACTGAATTTCATAAATGTAAACAGTACAATAAAGATTTGTATTTTTGTATGTATTGAAGTAACTCAAAAACTATTGGGCCAATATTAAAAAGTTAGAAAGGTAATTTATCTGTGAGTAAAATAGGCTATATTTTTTAATTTCACGCGGGCAAGGTCGCGAGCAACAGCTAGTAATTTATATACATAGAGTAAAAATTACATCAAACTACTTTAAAGTGAGTAAAAACATTAAATCACTTACCGAATAGATCCAATTCCTGTATAGAGAAGTTCTGAGGCGCGGGTTCTTCTACATACAATATCGTGTATTCGATATTGAACCTTATCACCTTGCAAGTAGGTAGCTTTGCCAGTTTGTAGTGAGAGAACATTGAAAACCCGGAGAAGAGGAACTCATGTTCATCGTGAGCTATGATTGTTGGTGCCTTGATCAGGAAGTTTGTTGGTGGAGACACTGTTATTCTAGAAAAAGCAAAGTAATGTTTAATAATTTTAATATTTGAAACACGGGTACATATTTAAAAGTAACAATGGACATTTGATTAAATATAAAGAATCCTAGGAAGCCTATTTTGCTGTCTGGTTCTAAATGAATTGAATTTGTTTTAATAAATTTCTAAGCCAAAATCATAGTATGTCAAACATTCTTTTTGGACATTCTCACCTAAAGAGAATGCAAGTCAGGCATTAGTAGACTATGTAAGGAGTATTCTTAATTATTTAATATGAGTGTGCGAAGAGAGAGATTTTCCGTATTCTATTAACAGCTCACTATACATCCCCACTGAGGGACTCGGGGGCTACTCAAAATAGGGAGACTGCTAGTCAAATTATTAAAAAGTTTAATGTGATAGAGATTTTTCTATTTTGTCTATTTCTGCGGTATCAGGTGTAGCAAAACCTGTATAACTATGGAGGAAAGATCTGTATTTTTGTATGTATTGAAATAAATCTAAAACTACTGATTTATGTTATGACAAATACAAATACAAACACACTTAAGCTACATTGTTTATTGTTTTATTAATTTCACGCGAATGAAGTCGCGAGCAACATCTAGTCATATATACATATTTTATTCACACTGTAAGTGCGATACGTACCAGGTGTTATAGACCTGGTTCAAAATGTTAACCACTGAGCCATTATTTTTAATTCGACGCAGACGGAGTTTGTCTATTACCTGTAATGGTATAGTTTGTGAATGTTGCTCTGCGTGGGCACACACTTGGGGTGCGGCTGCTCGCCGGCGTACACGCCGTGGCGCATGCCGAAGCGGCGCGCGCGAGCACTGCAGCGGCACAGCGGACCGCCGTTCATCTCACCTGTGTTGTTAAACCTATACAGAAACAAACAAACTGGTGACCTTACTAATCTCACTAATGCGAATAAATGCGAAAGTTTAGATAGATGAATGTTTGCTGAACGGATCTCGATGAAATTTGGCATAGACATAGAGGATAGTCTGGAAGAACGCATACAATATACACTTCCTTTTCTTTTCATTTCATGTGAAAGCAAGTGTGATGTAAAGCAAGGTGATTGTTGTTGAGGGATAAAGTTGAGATAGTTGTAATATGATCATACAGGACATGTTTTAAACCATTTTTAGTTGTTAATCAGCTATTTAACCTTTTCCTTTGAGTTTGGTTTCTATCTCTACATGGAATACTAAAAAATATGTAGAAAATATCAGTCTATAATTATGATAATCTAGAAGAACTTTTGTTATGAGTATGTACTAGTAAAGGTTAACTAGAAGGAGATGGATGGATTTTGTGGAAAGATATAATCAAGAACAAATATGACAGAAGATAGATTAATCTGGAGGATGAACCTGGTGCATTAACTCTAAGGTAGTATGATAAGGATGGGAAGATAATAAGGGTTTGTAAAGTCTGGATTATTAAAATTTTCTGCAATCAACATACCACATTTCAGGATGAAGGCGCCTGGGATGGCTCTGTTTTCTCTGCAGTTCCATCATAATTCTATCAGAATATCCTTGTAGACCATCTTCATCTAGACATTCATCACTGTCTGATGATGATGAACTTTTGTCATCCACTAAAAATCATTAAAAACTAAATAAAGTATTTAAAATAGAATTCTGTTAAAAAAATTTAACTTGTTAGATTCTAACATGAAGGAACTATTGTGTTAATATTTTATAGATTGAGATCCTAGACCAGGATGACGACACCTATATTCTAAAACTTCACTATTATCTGATTAGATAATACTCGTTTGTGATGTAACTGAATGGCCATTAATTATCCTGTCCAATGGGGCAGTTACGGGCTATCACACTCTGAAGTTGGTAAAAAACACACCTAAGTTCACTTATTTTCACAAAGCTGATTTTCACATATGTGTTGGAGACCACTGTAAGAATTACGAAACAAATATTGGCAGACAATTTCCGTGGGCCGTTTTCGAAGACAGACGATTTAAAGTTGCCAAAAATTTGACTAAATTTTATTTATATTTTCTAATGCTTGATTTTTACATATTATACTCCGGGGCCTATAAAATACCCCCTGAAAGAAAGCAGACATTTTTGATGGGGCAAACGGCGTGCAGACATTTTTAGTTACGCGTGGCTCGTAATACTAAAACGTAAACATTGGAACTTTTCTTATTTTCAAATGCTTGATTTTTAGATATTATACTCCAGGGACTATAACAATACCCCCTGCAAGAAAGCAGACATTTCTGATGGGTCAAACGACCTCCCAGACGCATTTATTATAGTATTTTTACTCTAACCAGAGTGTCTATCTCCTTACAGGAGATGTAGTTAAAGTCCCTGGAGCATCATATATAAAAATCAAGCATTAGAAAATAAAAATAAAATTTAGTCAAATTTTTGGCAACTTTAAATTGTCTGTCTTCGAAAACGGCCCACGGAAATTGTCTGCCAATATTTGTTTCGTAATTCTTACAGTGGTCTCCAACACATATGTGAAAATCAGCTTTGTGAAAATAAGTCAACTAAGTGTGTTTTTTACTAACTTCAGAGTGTGATAGCCCGTAACTGCCCCATTGGACGGGATAATTAATGGCCATTCAGTTACATCACAAACAAGTACTATCTAATCAGATAACAATAAAATTTTAGAATATAGGTGTCGTAATCCTGGTCTGGGATCTCAATCTATTAGAACATATTTATGCTCCATAACTCAAACTTTAAATTCAGCCTCTGTAAGTCAAAGTTTATATCTTGAACTTCTTGTTAAATTATAGTCAAAAAGTTGGGGTTTTTAGTACTTTTATGTAAGTTACACTCACTTCTATGTTTACAAGCCTTCCCTCTTGACGGCCTCAATGGAGGCAATTCATCCACTTCAGGTCTTGCTTTCCTTCCTCTTTCTATTAATTCCTTAAAGAATGTATTGCAGCGTTTCTCTAGTTTACTTGTTTGCATCACACCTACGCCATCTGGTGCCGGTTTGTAGTACAGTTCAGCTGGTGAACTTCTGTACCACATTTTTGATGACTGAAAGATACCATATACAAGACAAATTAATCTATATCTATAGTCCATACTTATATAAAGGGTGAAGATTTGTATATAACATACATATGTAGTCATTAGTATCTGATTTAAAAAATACCTTTTGCTATTAGAAAGCTAATTATCACTGAGTAACATTCACAGTTTTTCTTTAATTACACATGGATGAAGTCAGGGACCTAAGCTCAGAACCCACTCAAGCAAGTTGTTTTGTTTTACTTCAAGTAAATTCTTGGTCACAGAAAAAAATGTTTTCAGTCTTTGGTTGATCGATGGGATATAAAGAAATTAAGATAACCTAATAAGGTAAGGATCGATGGGATATAAAGAAATTAAGATAACCTAATAAGGTAAGGATCGATGGGATATAAAGAAATTAAGATAACCTTATTAGGTTATCTTAATTTCTTTATATCCCATCGATCAACCAAAGACTGAAAACATTTTTTTCTGTGACCAAGAATTTACTTGAAGTAAAACAAAACAACTTGCTTGAGTGGGTTCTGAGCTTAGGTCCCTGACTTCATCCATGTGTAATTAAAGAAAAACTGTAATAACATATACCAATGCATAGTGTTTTCTTGAACCATTGAATTTAATAGTCAAATTACCAAGAGTCAATTAAAGAAATTAAATACCTCTTCTTCATCAGAATGATGTTCCCTAGACCACTGTTCCATTTTTCTTATAAACTCTCCGGATGTTTCACAGTAATTTTTCCTGAAACAAAATAAAAGGGAAAGCTTTTATTACATCATGGAATCAATTTATAACTTACAAATAATTGTTTTTTGGTTTTTATTAACTAGGTATAATTTCTGTGTAATTTCTATTCATATATTACACTTTACATCTTGCAAATTGGAATATTATAAATAGTTTATCATTTTCAGCATATTACTTATTTGTATTCTTTACCTGTAGTCTTCTAAGATCTTCTCACGGTCAGTTAAAGGTTTTTTTGGGATTGACTCACGGTAGTAACTGGGAGACCTCTCTCTAGTTCTGCTATGTGAATGGGATTCTCGCCTGGATCTCTCAGATAATCTACTTGGAGATCTTCTATCCCTTCTATCTCGAGAATCAATGCTTCGACTATGACTTCTGTAATCTCTATAGTGTGGGCTATGTGACCTCTTGTAGTCATATCTTCTGTCACGCTCACGATGATCAATGTATCTGTCCCTATCTCTATAACGGTCATAATGCCTCGATGGACTTCTAGATCTCCTGAGTTCTCTATATTTTGCCTCTTTGAATTCTCGTTCTTTCCTTCTTTCAGCACTATAGTCCCTGTCTCGTCTCCTCTCTCTTTCATAACTTCTTTCCCTGTCATAACTTGATTCATGTCTGGAATATCTTGACCTGGAACTACTTGGCACATCTTTTGAAGGGTCTTTTGGAACATCTTTTGGGATATCCTTTGAAGAACTAGATTGTTTATCTGTCGAAGCATGTTCCTTTCCTGATCTTCTAACCGTTTCAGTTTTGCAAGCTTTACTGTAAGACATTTTCCCCTGGTGTCCGTAACTAAGTTGACGATAAGGATAGCTTGTGGGATTGTTAGGGACGGGGAAAGAGGCGGCAACAGAACTGGAAGATGGACGATAGGGGGCAACAGGAGGAGGGACATTCAAAGGTGGTAAACCTGCTGGCATGTTCAAATAGCGCTGCACGTTTTGTGACATATTAGATCCGAATGGCGGAGGACGGCTATAATACTGAGGTGGTGGTACCGGAGGAACAACCGGTACAACCGAAGGAGGTACCTGAGGTATAGGTGGAGGTACATTAAGGGAAGGAGGAGGAATGTTGTAATTAACTGGTGGTATCGACATTTGTCTCTACATCCAATATTCTTCTGCTTAACCTTTATGTTATTAAATTAAAAGCACTTATAGGATAAAACTCTTTAAAATCAACCCCAAGCAACATAAGTTTGACATCAACTTGACACTTACGTTTTGACATATTTGTGGTTTGTGATTTTGACAGATTAAAAATTGTCAGATTGTCTCTTGACAGCGTTGCCAGCTAAAAAGGATTGATAAAACTAAAAGCTTATTTTAGCTCCCGTTATTCTAAAACGTTGAAGGTGCTGATTTATTATTTCATTTGTTAATTTATTATTTCTCTATTTTCTTAGAGTAGTGAACACAAACGATTTTATTAACTAACACATTTTATTCAAAGGTACATAACAATCAATGTTTATAATTTATATGTTACATTATGACAAACACTCTTAATTTTCGCACTACCAAGGCATTCATCATTTTTATACATAACTCCAAACTGTCCTTCTGTAAGTGCTCTTAGACGTTTATCCAAAAAAATTGTCAATCCTTCAGCATTTTTAGTAACTCTGCATGTCACTAAGGGCTTTGTATGTTGAAACCTAAAATAACAGTATAATACACTGTTGTGCTGCAACTCTTCAGGTTCACTGTGAATCCAATGAGGTTCTATTGTAAAACATAAATTATTCCATAATGCTGGATGTTCAGTTCCAGCCACCTGAAAACATTAATAGATTAATTTTTTAATAAATCAATATGTACTAAATGTTTTACTACATATAAGATCCAATACAACTTACCACATAAATATTGTTTTCATATAAATCTTTCTTGAATACAAAATATGAATGTTTATAATTTGCTAAACAACATTTCTGACCAACTGTCCATTTATGTATCCCACTGTGTTCTCCTACAGGCTGCCCTGTGTCAATATCTATAAAAAGACCCTTTTTTGTTTCAATGTACTGAAAAATAAATAATACAGTCATACACAAAAGTTATACACAAAAATGATTACTTAAAGAAAAAAAATCAAATAATATACAAACATCTTCAATGAAGTCTTGAAATCTTCGCTTTCCTATGAAACATATTCCAGTGCTGTCTCTTTTATTAGCAACTTGAATTAAACCTTCATCTTTAGCTATACCCCTGACAGTTGTTTTCAATAAGTTTGCTATTGGGAACATACATTTTCTTAAAGCAAACTGCTTCACTTGCGATAAAAAGAAAGTTTGATCCTTATGTTTGTCTCTAGGCTGTAAAAGTCTTACACCTAAAAAAGCATTAATGCAGTATTGAATACAGTTAAGGCCATTACAAAAATTTAATCAATTGATTTTTCTAGAAAATTACCTTCATTTTCCTTATAAAATTCTAAATAAGGTCCAAATGATGTGTTTGCATAATGACCTGTAGCTATAGCATCAATTCCTAAATTGTTCCTGCAATGTTCAAAAAAGCTATCAAATTTAATATATCTGTTGCATAATATGTCTGGATTAGGTGTTAAACCTGTCTCATATTCCTTCAGCAATACGGTGAACACTTCATTCCAATACTCTTTGATGAAATACACTTTATGTAAAGGAATATCGAGCTTACGGCAAACAAATGAAGCATCTTCGAAATCTTTTTCGCCTGAACAAAAACCTGCTTCATAATTATGATCCCAGTTTCTCATAAAGACCCCTTCAACATGGTATCCTGTAATTTAAAATAGTATTAATCACAGAATTCATTCATGAGTATATTTTGTAACATTTAAACAGCTAACCTAAACGTTTTAAAAGAAGTGCCGCAACTGCACTATCAACTCCTCCAGATATACCAACAGCAACTTTTTTGATCATTTTTTTGCATCACACGTTTGTAATTAATGCAGGAAATTATTATATTTATGTTCGTTTTCTTGTTTCTTGTCGATTCTTCCATCAAAACATTTTTTTTAAACTCCATGAAACGTCAATGTCAATGTCAGTCTCCTCTTGATAGTTGCCAGATATCAAGCTTTCGCAATGTATGGTATAAAACTGCATGAAAGACGGATGATGGAATAATCCATTGAAAAGATGAAATTGAAAATTAATGTTAAAACTAAAACTTAAACTTCTTAAACCTATGTAGTATTTAAAAGAAAGAAATCTTCTTCGGTTAGTTTATAAAAATCTTCATATTTATTGCAAATCTTGTGCTATGAATGCAACCCTAAAAATAAATGATTTGACAAGTTTCGAGTTTTGCTTGTCGAGGTTAATCGTTTATATTGTTTGTAGCGGTATTTTAAAGGATATACGTTTTTAAATATGTCTAATATCAATTTACAATGTCTCCTGGGAATCCAATGCAACGATTTTGTTATGATAGCTGCTGATCAAACAAATAGCCATAGTATTATGGTGATGAAGGATGGTGAGTTAGCGACTTCGGTTATTCATCATTTCCACTTTTTGCGATTTTTTCCTTAACAATACGCTTTCTTTTAATAGACGAAGAAAAGATTTATAAAATATCGGACAAGCTTGTAATGGGAGTGGTAGGAGATTCCGGCGATACAACACAATTTGCAGAATATATTGCAAAGAATATTCAACTGTATAAAATGCGCAATGGGTATGAGCTCGGGCCAACAGCAGCAGCGAATTTTACTCGCCGGAACTTAGCTGAGTACCTCAGGAGCAGTGTAAGTTACATGTCAACATTCATAGTTTTTTAAATACATCAAAGTGTGACAAGTTTTCCAATTTGTGTCCAGAAATAGTGGTTTAGCTTGAGCATTGCGACAAAAACGTTAATAATTATTCTACCTTTATGTTTTCAGTCACCATACTTTGTGAACATCTTAATGGGTGGTTACGACAAGGAAAATGGCCCTGAATTGTATTTTATGGATTATTTAGCATCCAGCATTAAAGTTCCATTTGCAGCTCATGGCTTTGGTGGTTACTTAAGTCTGAGTGTTATGGATCGTTATTATAAAAAAGGTAAAGAACACTTACAGATTACAATGTAAAGAAAAGTTGTAATTTTTGTTTTTTTCTATGCACATGTAAAACATGCTGATCATGTATTTTACAGATTTAACAGAAAAGGAGGCATATGAAATACTTCAGAAGTGTGTCCAGGAAGTACACAAGCGTCTATTTGTCAGCCTACCCAATTTCCAGGTGACTGTTGTGAAGAGAGACGGAATTGAAGTACTCCCTGTTATAAATTCTTCTTCATTAAAGTAATTCACACCTTTTTTAAGATTAAATGGTATAATTTTGTCTACACAGTTTGTTTTATTATCAATGCAATAGTAAATAGTGTAAATCTGCTCTGAACTGTCTCAAGAGTTCAGATTACATAGATTTGAAGCATTGAGATACAACTCAACTAAATTGTAAGCTTTTTGATAAGCACAATGTAGCACAAATACATTCAGGATATGGGACAATAAAATTTTAGTACCTTTAGAAAAGTGGGTTTGACAGCGGAGGAGAGGCATGGGAATGGGAATTATACCCTTTAGGTGTGTCTACTCCTTTGCTTAAGAGTAGGCATTGCATCTGCAATTGAAGAGGTCTATGGGCAGCGGTCACTTTGCCATTTCATCGCATTCAGCTGGCCACTTGCTAATTTGCCACCTTATAACATAAAAATTAAATTAAACATTAAAAATTTAGTTTCATTTATTTGTAAAATACATTTATCTATGATCATCCATTCTCAAGTTTTGCTTCTTTCTGGGCTCGATGGTGCAGCATTGTCCTGGTTTTCAGATTGAGAATTATTTGCATTGTCATTGTCACCTCCATTATCACCTTCATTATCTGATTGATCTATAATTAAAAATACAAATAAAACATCATAAATCAGTGTACATAAAGTTATGGTACAAATAGTGTCAAAATACCTTTTCTACTGCATATTTAATAATTACATAAGCAGTCTCTTAGTATAGTTTTAATACTAAACCTATTTAAGGAGTGTCCCATTCTAACAATAAGAAAATAAATTACATTGGGACGAATGGTAGACTGACAAGTCCACCTACTGTGAGATGTCCTTAGTGAGTATTGACAACCCTAAGTGTGAAAAGTTAATAGTTTTCTTCTATTAAAATTATTTTAAGCTGATTGTTTAGGACTATTCTTACCTTTTTTCTCTGTGGGCATATCCTCAGTTCTATTAGCCACTTGGAAGTGGTATTCCAATTCATCAAAGTCAAATACTTGGTCAGTTGGTAGTAGACAAGGGAGATAAGCGGGAAATGTAGGCTTACAGGCTATTACTGAAATATTTTAAAATGTCATTTTGTTTACCAAACTCTACAGATATTTAAGCATTCTATATAAATCAATATTTTTTATATTACAAAAATATTAATCAAATAATGTTTTGATTTATTACAGACTATATTTATGGTAGAATAAAATATATTCTGATTCAGCAGCAGTAATAAAGACAATATTTGGGATTTTTTTAAGAAAAAAGTTAATTTTGAATAAACACTTACATGGATAAACTTGGTTATCTTCAGTGTTAAACAAATTATGTGTTTCACTTGTCTTTGCTAAGAATTTTGTTAGTGCTTTTTCAATATCCCTCTTTTGTGTGGCAGCTTTTTCTCTTATCGCCTCATACTCTGTTACTGGTTGTTTGTGTGTCTGTATAGGAAATTAAAAAACCTTTAAAGGTGTACATGACAATAGTGTATGCACAAAACATAGTATCTGAAATTATTATTTAATAGAGTCCTATTCTGAAGAAATTCATAAATGCTTATACCTACTGATCTCTATCAATGGACTATAAAACATGGTATTTGGTTTATGGTATTTCCACCATTTTGGAGATGATAATAGTGTCAACTGCCAACTGTCAACATAATTGTCAGTAACATAAAAAAGAGCCTTAGTCAGAATGAAAAGCTAATTTCTAAGCAATCACCAGTCCATTTATACAAATCAGTGGCTTCCGAGCATTTTATTATTTGGCAAGTCAGTACCCAGAGTTCCCTAGCAAAGTAACACTTAGCAAAGTAGTCTTACTGGAGTTCTAATATATGCATGAGGGTCAGGAAGTGGTGGTAAATGAAATGGTATATGTGGTGCAGGTTTTGCTTTAGCCCCTGCTGACAGCATAGCTGGTGTCCGAGGGGCAGTCGCTTGCTGCGGAGGCTGAATTACATGTCTATTAGGTCTTGCTGCATATTGTTCTATACCTTGGATACTTATACCTGCAAAATAAAGTGAGGTTAACAAAGAATAAAATTTATTTAATAAACACCAATGAGATTAAAAGAAAGTTAAATCATACCCATATTCATCAAACCCATAACAATATCATTTAGCACTGGCTCAACTCTTCCCGATAGTTCACAAAATCCTCTTGCTGAGTTGCCAAGTTCAGTAAAAACTGAAAAGTTGAGAAAATATTATCGTAGCAATTAGGTGAAATTGGAATAGAAAACTTTTTGAAGAGAAAGTTGTTAAGACCTAACAATAACATATATAATAGGAAGACATACAACATTGTAGCATTTCAGTTAAAGTCTCCAGTGACATTTTATCTGCAGAATCGAAGCCAGTCTCTAGAAGTACTGTTGAAACTGCTAAATTCAATACACGTCTTCGAGCATCCACACCACATTCAACTTTTTCAACGGTTTCAGACATTGTTGACCAATTATGTTTTTAGATAACGATCACTTAAATATAGTTTATTCATAACTATACGTAAGCACTTAATTTTGTTAATTTTGTATAAGATAAACAGAAATACAAGTTTATTAACTTTTGTAGGTCACGACACATAAGTGTCACTGTCAAAAAATCAAAATAAAATTAATCATAGAGTAACTAGGATATAAATTTGAACCAAAACTGCGTTTCAATAAAACAAATAACTTGATTTTGAATACATGTTAAAAATGGATTCTGTTTAAAACCTTATAAACTCAAATTAGGTGTCTATTACAGTACTTCAGATGAGAATATTGAATTTCATTACTCTTCTGTACAAGCAAGTTATTTATTCTGTAGTTAAAAAAGTCGAAAAAAGTGTCATTGTCATTTAAAAAATAATTGTCTATCTGACGTTTTACTTAAATAACTTCGTATCAAGTATTTCGATATTATAATTTGTTTAAATTCTAGATTAGGGAGATCATCTGCTTTGCAAGTGTCAACAGTAGTTATCTCTTAAACAGTGAAGCAAATCATCCTTTACACTAATCTCTAATGTGTTAAAACCATTCAAGTTAACCAATTACAACTTTCACTTATTACGACGACAAGATACTCAAAAAAGATTGAATAAACTATTTAATTTCTGGAAGCTTCTTCACGGAAAACTAGTGTCGTCAACATGGTCAGGGTATATGCACTAGGAGTTCTCTACAAGGGAGTGAACAGCGCAACTGTGCTGAAGGCAGCATATGATTTGCAAAGCTTTAGTTTCTTTCAACGTTCATCTGTACAAGAATTTATGGTGTTTGTGAGTAAAACTATAGTGGAGAGAACACAACAAGCAACAAGACAATCAGTCAAAGAAGGTGAATACATGTTACAAGTGTATGTACGAGCAGATAACCTTGCTGGGATCTTAATATCGGATCATGAGTACCCTAATAGAGTAGCTCACACACTAATAACTAAAATTCTAGATGAATTTACTGCTAAAGTGCCGACAAATTTATGGGCAACTGGTAATGAAACCTCTATAGATTTTCCTGTTCTACCTCAGTATTTAGCTAAATACCAGAATCCAAGAGAAGCTGATGCTTTAACGAAGATACAAAATGACCTTGACGAAACAAAGATAATACTGCATGATACTATCAAGGCTGTACTAGAAAGGGGAGAAAAACTGGATGATTTAGTTGCTAAGTCTGACAGTTTGACAATGCACAGTAAGGCATTTTATAAAACAGCTCGTAAAACCAACAGTTGCTGTAATTTTTGAGGTATTTAGCATTTTTTTTATAGAAATGCTGTTTATCAGATCTAAAAAAATAACCATAATAATTTTAGTGTGGTACAATTTAATATTTATATGAAGAGTTTTAATTTCTTACTTTGACATAAATATAAACACTTTGGAAAAACAAATATCTTTCTTGATTTCTGTTGTTAATTAATTTTATGTTTCTTATAAATTTAAAATCAACATGGGTTAGCATTCTTCATATAAAACTAATTGCACACTAAAAAAAAGCATTTTTGCAATAATAGAACAGATTCCGTTTCTTGAGAAAATCTGGTGTGGGGTGGGTGCCCCTCAGTAGAGACTGCAAATATGTAAAATAAATAAAAACCACTATAGAAAATACCTTACTAATGATAGCTGCCATCTTAGACCTAGCCTAGATCAATGACAACTACCATGTTTCTTTTGGGATATCTCAGGTCTAACTACTTCAGATGATTTATAGTAAAAAAAAATCATATTTGATACGGCCTTCACAGGTTCAACTAACCTTTCCAGTGGCTACTCATTGGATATCTCTAAATAGCATTTTATTTAGTTAAATGTATATAAATAATGGGTTTCATATAAATAATGGGTATTACATATTGAGATATGATTTTGGAATGTGATATTTGATGTAATAGCATTGAGTATTTCATTTTGATTTATTTTTATTGTATAGTTGTTAGATTTTGCTTGTATTTTAATCTTTGTAATTAAGATGTTAGAATGTTGTATAAAAAATATAAAAGGGCAATAAAAATCATATGTACAGTATGAAAATATACTTTTTATGGTATTGTGTTTATCAAATATCTTGACTGTTTGGAGCTTTGTATAAGTCCCTTCGCAGAACAATATAGGGGGAGAATGTGAGAGAGGACTGCAGTGCGCATGACCTTGTGCTGTCAAGATGATTGAAAAACAAATATTTAGCTTATAAATGTAGATGTTGTGTGGTAATAGATATTAAATTAAAATGAATTATTTTATGTATAATGCTGCCAATGTATAAATCTGTGAAATTGAATCTTAAAAACCATACTATGTAGAATGTTTAATTTGAAATAATGACATTTATATAAAAGAAACTTATAAGTATAGAGTTATGCTGTGGGCTTTGTATAAAATTGTATATGTTCAAACCTCCAAGTTTTAAACTGCTCGGGTATATCTTTAAATTGTTATAACCTATTTTAATAATCAAAGTCAGAGTAGATAATTTGAGTATGTTCCCAACCCATTTAGAGCTGCAAAACACTTAAAAAGCATGTAACAATTTCTTGTTGAAACTGACAATAATTCACGAAAGTAGTAAGTTGTATAAATTCAAAAGAAAATGTAAACAATCCAGACTATTCAAGAACAATTGTGTTATTAGAAAATTCTGACAAATTTATATGTACCAATGTTAAAAGGCCTAAAATGTTACATTTTTCAAATATGCAAAGTAAAAGTTGGTTAAAAGAAAGTAAAGTCAAATATCTTTCTGTTTGTAGACATACCCAAATTATAGTATATGCACAAATCAGTTTTAAATGCAAATGTAACCATCTTAATAAAAAATGTAGTATTCAGAATGTTAATGTTTTATATGAATTTGCTAAGGTATAGATAGTTTTATATGTTTACATTTATTGACTAATTGTGAAAGTTCCATATACATCTGTGTGTTTTGATGGTCTTATGTAATGTTTAGCTTTGGATGTTTGCTGTATTGAATGTTAAATGCCATTTAGTATGTCAACTTTTCGGTTGACAATTATTCAGTTGATGTAATAAATATAGCCTGTTCAAAACTATAAGCATTTTATATCAAATTATCAATCTTTACGAGTTGTAACTGCATCGGATGGAATTTTCTTTATTTCTTGATAATTCTTATCTTCTCAGCAAAGGCATGGGCAGGTGAGAGATTTTTTAGTTTGTAGACTGCGCCTTAATAATGATCCCAATTTATTAGATAGTCAAATGTTATATGAACCTGAAAAACTTACCTGATTGATATATTGGAGGGAAATAAAACAAATGTTGAAATAAAAATACATATATTAATTTTACATCAATATTAAATTACAGCCAACGTAACTATGTAGGTTACAATAATAAAAATATACCTATATAATTTCCATTGAAACAAATAAATAATAAAAACAAGGTATTTTTTTTCTTATTAGTAATAACCTAATTCTAAAACTGATTGACTATAAGAAGGTTCTGCAGAATACCAGGTAACATCTTTAAAACAATCCATCTACAAGCAAGGGAGGGCTCACTTATAGTAATAGTATTATGGAATTTACTCGTTAAATCTATCATTAATTAATAATGAGTATAATGGCGGAGGAAAGTGCCCCAAAAATGTTAGAAAACATTTATCCCTTCAATTTTTCGTTATCATGATTTACTATTTTTCACTAATATATTTTTACACTGATTACCTTGTATAATTGATTTATCTTTATCCTCTTGGGAACCAGTAAAGGGTTACAAAGTGTTGGCATGCCAAGTATGTCACAATCCTCCGCCATCGGTTTAACCTAAAGAAGGACAGTGGTATTACATCTTTACAGGACAATAGAAATTTTTGCTTCTAATTTTTTGGCGTTAAGCAATGAAATAAAGAGAAAATATAAGCTTTGGAATAGACCCAGTGAGACTTTGAAGAAATATTTCGTGGTTTAAAGCATACTCTTGATGGAATTTAATTTTTACCTACACTGGCATACTATAAATAAAATACCAAAATAAAACGTTTACCAGAAAAAGAAGTGACACATTGTGGTCCATTTTGGTCTCCTTGATTTTTCGTATTTGATTATTTGTCTAATGATGTACATTTTAGTATAATATTTACACTAACAAATACAGGTTTTTGAAATAAAATCGATGTTTTTGCATAAATCAACAATTTAGAATTTATTTTTAATCGTTATTAAATTAATTTATGAATCATTTGTGATATAATTCGTAAACATTAATATTTCATTTGATTTCTAAATAATATCTTTGTAGTCTAGTTTGTTGTATACATTTGTGTTTTATAAAATCTTCAATTGTTCTGCGTTCAAAAACCTGCTTAGAAACATGATACTGATTAAAACAGTATAAAATTCATTAATAAATGTATTTAAATAAATTGTTGATACCACGATTTCATAGATTTTTAATTATAAGGATGAATAAGAAAATAATCTCACTGGAAGGATAACAAATTTAGAAAGTACTACTAACAAAGAATATTTACAAAAATAATAATAGCTTAAAAGTTAGGCAGCGAAATCACATACACGAACTAAGTAGAGGATAAAAAATAAATATATAAAACACAATCATTTAAATGCCCTTTACAAGAATTTCACGAACGAAATACGGAGCTATATATTCCGAACTTATTAAAATTTATTCACAAACAAATGCAACGCGTGATGCCCGGTTTACAGTATTCAAATCCAGCGAAATTTTGGAAAAACGTAAGCCCATACATTGTGTGGGTTTTCATTTTTCCAGTGGTAATCCAGCGCGGATTTCGATCGCTGGGCTGCAATAATGTAAACCGAGTACTACGTGTTTTGTGTTCTTCCATTTTCATTTTCAGTAAAATTCGTCAAACTAAAAGGTTAAAGCGTTTCACCTTTTCAAGTCGAGCAATTTGTCTGCGAATTTCTAAAAAGATGCTGCTTCATTCAGACAAATATCAAAATTGAATTTGATTTCTTTTTAACACATCTGTGTTTTTTTATGTTTAAGTCTATGCTCTAATATTACATTTAAAATATGTTACAATGTTCCCACTTGTTGTTTCAATAATGTTAAATACTGCGCTTCTACAAAAAGGTTAACTTACAAATTGAATGAATGTACCATTGTCGCATGTAGCGAAAAACATATTGATGTAAACTGTTGCCGTTTTCGTAAAATCAGTCTTCTTTCTTTTAATAAAATCTTTTTAAAAATCAAACCGTTTCATTTATCAAAATAAATCGTACACCTAATGATTGAAATGCAATGAAAAATCAATTCCTTTAAAGGCAGCGTAAATTTTGTTTAAAAATATTGGTACCAATATGAAACATAAAAACAATGTGTAAAATTCTTGGTGTTATATGTTCTTTTACTGCCATGTTCGAAAATCGCTGATCTATAATTACATATTTTAGTTAAAAGTAAAAATAGAGGAAGAGACAAAAGTAAAATGGTTTCGCCAAATATTAAAACTCGCAGGGACTTCAGCTAATGTTAAATTTAACACTAATCGACCTCTTTGACGAAAAAAGTTACACATTTTAATACGTGTAACTTTTTTCATCGGATGGGATTTACAAATATATTATAACCAGTATATATGAAAAGTCATCCCAGTTTTAATTGATAATAAATCATCGAATTTGTATACCAAATTCTTTGGGATTGTATTCTTATACTGGTTCTCATATCAACACACTTATTGTAAGCACTACGTGATTTATTCGAAAATATATCGATTAAAAACAGCGTAAACCTCTCACTTGCACGAAATTATAAAAATAATAATTTATTACAGACGCTACAATAACAAAGGAAAGAAATCATATCGAAATAAATGCTTTATAGTGTGTATGCAGCTGTAAAACTACGAGAATCAGTCATGCAAAATAAGTCCCCGAGCACACGATTCGCAAACTACCAAATCGATAATAATAAGGACTTAGATTACCCCAAAAGCAAAACAAACAAACATATTTCTATTCACATTATGCTTTACGACTCTTACTACTACTTACACTTTATAAAAGGCATCCATTGATAAAAATGATTTATTTAATAATCCGACGTCAGCAGGAATCCAGCAAATAAATAACACGGAATATTTTATCTACCACAAATCACGACACTGGCAACATAAGTTTCAATCGGCTCTTACTTACAAATATAACTTGGAGTCAAGTACCACAAGGGCTTCTACGTGTATTTGTACTAATTGGGGGATGGGGGTGGTGACACTATTCATACATCAATAATTTTAAAGTCCACTGCAGCGGACAGACGACACGATTGCAGTTTTCATCATCGAGTCGTCAATCGAACGCGAAAAGCGACTTTGGTATTCACTTTTCTATATAATTCTCACATCCATAAAGAAGTGAGAGCTTACTAGATCTCGGTTTAGCAAGATTGCGTTGCCCAACCGTTGGCTTAACCATATCGAGTGTAACTCGCAGCAGCCGAGATCATTCGGCAAAGGAGCGGCGACCGTGTGCAGGCGGTAGCGGCGTGCTCTCATTTGTTGGGCACGTGGATCTTCTTGGACCTGAAGTCGTATATCTTGCGGCAGAAGAGCACGAGGTCCGGCGACACGGAGGGCGGCAGCTTGGTGTCGTTGGGCGCCAGCGCGGGCGACACCTCGCTCGCCGGCAGCGCAGGCACTATGGACGGCGCCATCGTGATGCCCTCTTCTGACGCTTTTAGCCGCTTTCTATATCTGCAACGAGACAATTTCTTCTTATTAGTTCTCTAGTAAATTAACAAAGTTTTTTGAATAAAACAGTCAATGTGTGGAAGAAATTACAAACTTCAAAGTAAAAACATGTTTTCGGGTAACATTTTTGCAAACTGACAGCTGTCAAACGTCAATGCGTGCATCAAATGCGTACATACGCCTTTTCTGTGCGCTACACATTGACGTATGACAAGTGTCAGTGCAGTGTGCAGTGTGCAGTGTGCAGTGTGCAGTGTGCAGTGTACAGTATGCAGTATGCCGAGCGGCGTATGTCGTTGCACACCCACCTGCAGTACTCGTTGAATGTGAGCACGTAGCACTTATCCTCGATGCAGGCGACGGAGTTGGCGTCGCGGTGGCG